GCGAATATTAATAATAAATAGAAAATATTATTTTTTGGGCAAAAAATATTATCTAATAATTTACTATGTTAGAAACAAATAGTGGAAAAAAGAAAAAAAGTTAGCACGAAGCAGGTTTCGAACAGGTGATCTCTAATATTCCAGCCACTCGCCTCAGAATTTCTTTTCTGAATCAGAAACGCTTGCTTTTAACATGCAAGTAGCATGCATTTATCGTCTGTTGTGTCGGCTCGGTGGAAGGGAGCGTTCGCTCTCTTCCATTGGTTGAACGGCCGAGCTCACACGGATACGTGACGTAGCGCTTCTGTAAGGTTGTGTGAGGCAGCGGAGCCGGGACCGCTGTGGGAAATATCGCATCACTGACTAGGACCGAAAAATGAGATATACATAACCATCTAGAACCTTTATGATTCATGACAACTCGATGCTGTCTTGTATTGCTTGAGTTAAATTCATTGAATTTGTTGAGTTTAATAAATATAATTATATACATATATATATAATTATATCTATTAAAGAGGTATACCAACATACATACCAACATTATTTGTTTCTTTCATAGACTGATTTGCAGTTGACATTTTTTATTACAATAAAAGTTATTACGTAAACTCAACAAATTCAATGAATTTAACTCAAGCAATACAAGACAGCGTCGAGTTGTCATAAATCATAAAGATTCTAGATGATTATGTCTATCTCATTTTTCGGTCCTAGTAAAACTAACTTGAACTTGAATTATCGTAAACACCCTATATAATCGAATACTTGTTTGTCAAAGTTATAATCAGGTTCGTATCATGATTTTTTCACGTTGCGTCAAAATAATAACACTAATACGAACCCGATATATTTTCTCTGACGAATTTAAAATTTATTTTTTCTCAATAAAAAAATTGATTTTAATTACATGCGATTGAACCAAAACGTTAGAATTTAATTTAAATTGCAAATAAATTTCGGCAGATTTGAAGATTTGAAGTTCACTCAAATATCGAAATAGAGAGAATTAAAAACTCGCAACAGAAATAATGAGCCCTCTCGATGTTTTCACTAATAAATAATCGGTTCCAAATTAAGTCCAAGAATTTTACAGATGTAAAAGTGGTTCACTGGAACGTCCTGTAGTCCTTTATTTCAGAGTGAGAAACGGATCGATTCTTTCGCTGTGATTTTTACGGTTTTCGCTTTTAAAATTTTTTTTTTTTTTTTTTTTTTGCGAGAAAAATCGCATAATTCGATCTGTCTCGCTGCGCTACACTGCACACATGAAAATTAGCCGCGTGAGATCAAGAGATTTTAGGGATACGTTTTTACGAAAGTGCCTCATCACTGTCCGTCGTGCGTCTCGCATCGATTTCCCAGTTCCACTTTTTTTTTTAGAAATGTTCAAATTAGCTAATAAGACAAAGGATCGATATTTCCGTTTATCGACGCCAGCAAACTTTCTTTTTCACGGTCTCTAAATAAGAGAGAGTCTTTCCGAAGATAATACACGAGTAGTACGTTTTTTTCTCTAACATTTCTTCATATCTTCGAAATCATCGCATGCGCGATATTACATTCGTACCAAGACGCGTTTATATTTCTCAAGTGCAACCGTATCATAATTTAGTTGTTGTAAAAATGAAATAACATATCATTATAGTAATTTAAAAGCGAAGACTATTATTTAGAACAAAAGAAATTTCTAATTCTGAGAAAAAATTGACCTTGTTTTAAACAAAGCAGATTTCGTTTGTTGATAAAATTGCAACCATTTGTGTTATATTTGGATCGCATTTATTCTAAACTTATCAAACATCATATTTTACGGAATACCCTTTTTTTATCCAACATTTATACGATTTTTTATTAATATTTGCAGTGTCGCGACGCTGCTCCAGTCTTGGCAATTTGTCTGGGGCGGAATTTAATGTAAGAAATGCTACGATAAAATAAACTTAAATAATATTTACAGTCATGGTTCCGCGGTGTGCGAAGCAGCAAGTTTCGGCACGTTTACGGTGTGCCAGCGAAAAGGGAGAAATGCTACGACAACATCAAGATCACGAAGAACGCTCACGATTCGCAGTTTTGCGCCATAAATCCGAAGTTTCTGGCCGTTGTGACGGAAGTAGCAGGCGGTGGAGCATTCCTGGTGTTATCATTGGATCGTGTGAGTTATCTGTGCCTTATCGATTTATCGATTTATCGATTTTTGCTCTGCTTGAAAATAGAAGACGTATTAATTAATGCGGTCAGACATGCGATACGCAATCCATCATATTATTGAACTATATTATTGTTTATTATCACATTTCTTACATTAATCTCGAACTGATTATATCAACTTGATTTTATTGCAGTCGATATCATTAATTATAAAAAATCCTACATATCATTTTATTGGTTTGGATTTTGTTTTGTACAGCAAAGCGGAATAAATCGAGATTTTGCTCGCAAATGTTTTAATCTCTCATGCGCTATTCTATAAAATCCATGAAAAAACTACGCTTCTTAAATAACCTTTCGCGATTAATTAACCGTACACTTTATATAACGTTGCATAATATCGCGTGATATTAATCGCTATTACCGTAATATTAATTTTATTACTTCAATGTTGCAGACTGGCCGCCTCGACTTCAATGCCAGCCGAGTAACTGGACATACCGGTCCCGTTTTGGACATCAAGTGGAATCCATTCAACGATAACATCATTGCATCATGTTCCGACGATTGCACTGTAAGAAATTGTTTTGCGTATGGAGAACATCTTTGCGCGAAGAAAAGTTTGCAGGAAATTTTCATGCACGTAGAGAGTAAAGAATAATCAAGAGTCTCTCTCTCTCTCTCTCTCTCTTTCTCTTCAAAATGTATACCGATTACTATATCTAAGCTCAAAGTTCAGGCTCTCGTGTGCAAGAAAAAGCAACACCGGCAGACAGATTGCAGATCGCTGCGTTCTTTTCTTTTGCTAAAAGTATTAGTACAAGCTTCAAAAAATTGAAAAAAATTTTCTCTTACAATCTTTTGTTCTAAAATTCCAGATAAAACTGTGGCACGTGCCCGACGGCGGATTATCGAGAAATTTGACTGACTGGTTGGTGGAGCTGCAAGGACACAAACGGCGTGTCGCTTATATCGAATGGCATCCGGTAGCGGAAAACGTGCTCTTCAGCGCCGGCTTCGATCATCTTGTTATTGTGTGGGATGTCAACAGATGCGAGGCGGTGAGCATCATCGACAGGCATCCCGATGTGATTTACAGCATATCCCTAAATCGCGACGGCAGCTTACTAGCCACCACTTGCAAAGACAAGAAGTTGCGCGTTTTTGAGCCGAGATCCGGCATCGTTGTCTCGGTAAGTAAACATCCGAAATTATTTATTACAGAACCCAATATAATGAATGTTACGTGTAAATGCATATTGTTGTTAAATACTGTTTAACTCTTTCAAACATGATAAAACTCGTAGAAATAATAAAAGCGAATGCATGAACATTTTTGAAAACTATGACTTTTTTTTAATAGCTTGTATAATAATCACAAATATGAAAAATATATTCGTATTGAAAATTATGTTCTTTGTATTAATTAATATTAATTATTATTCAGGAAGGGGTGTGTCACGCCGGCACGAAAGCGAGCAAGGTGGTATTCCTCGGCAGTTCTGGGCGTCTCTTGACCACTGGATTTAGCAGACATTCGGACCGACAATACGCGATATGGAGTCAACATGACCTGACCGTCCCCCTGACGTGTGAAACGATAGACTCATCGAGCGGGGTGGTTTTCCCGTTTTACGATAACGATACCAATATGGTATTTTTAGCCGGGAAGGTAAGAATGCGCGACGTGCTCAACACGATCCGCTTAAAACTCGGAGCATCGCTACTTTTCGCAGGGTGATGGCAATATTCGCTATTACGAGGTGGTTAACGAGGCACCTTGGATGCACTACCTTAGCCAATTTATATCCGGAAATCCTCAGAGAGGGTTGGGAGTAATGCCGAAAAGAGGCATCAGCACATCCATGTGCGAAGTGTTTAGATTTTACAAATTACACGCAACTCGCGGAATGTGCGAGCCGATCTCGATGATAGTACCTCGAAAGGCAAGTTCACAACGTATTCAATATTATTTATTTCTTTGTGAGATACGACGTAACGAAGAAAGCGATAATATCCGAGTTGTCTCTTTTCAAGCTGTCACAAAATCACACTATGATTACAGAGTGATCAGTTCCAAGAGGATTTGTATCCCGATACAATTGGAACGTGTCCCGCACTATCGGCCAGAGATTGGATCAGCGGTATGAACAGCCCGCCAATCTTAATTTCTCTCAAGACAGGTGCTACATTTTTCATTGATGCGACATATAATAATAAAATTCGATCCGACCAACCGCGTCAGTGAATGTCTCGTGATTGATTTATCAGGTGGCAGCATCTCCACGCATAAACCACGAATATACAAGCCGCCGCAGCTGCCCGCGGCGACCGATCTGAACAACAAGAAGAAATTTGCGTTTTTATCTACGGAAACCATACCGGATTACAGGCCGGTAGAATTGCACAATATGTCTGAGAAAAGTCAGAAGACGTCTAGCAATCAGAGCACAAAGTTTCAGCAGCTTCAGCAGAAGTTCGGAAACGTTGTTATACAGGTACGTAATGCGCGTGTTCTGTGCGTCGTTCGATTCGACATGACACTTTACATCTGACAATCTTTGTTCCTCCGTCAGAAGAATATTATATCATCTCCGCTTAATGACAATAAAGTAATGGAGACTGTGGATGTTCCGAACAATGAGGCGGAACTTCGACTGGCGTTCGCTCGTCAGACCGACGAGTTGAGACTAGTGCGACGGCAGCTCGCCAACAGTCAACTGCGCGTCAAGGAATTGGAGGACCAAATACGAAAGTTGCAGCACCAGTAGAAGCGAGAACGTTACAGGCGCCTCGATATACCGGCTTTGCCGAGCAAGACTTGCTTCACGGCTAAGCGTGACTAGCGAGCCAATACTGGAAATTTATAGAGTATTTATGTACCGCTAAACATATAGTAACAAGGAGCCTAAGCTTTCGAGAATTTTATCCTAACGCGCTTAGGACGTCAGCTCTATGATACTCATACATAAAAAGGTATTCGCACAGAAGTATTTTTACCGATTTTTTCTGTTAATCTACAAATTTTGATATAGAATGACATTTGTCGAGTCGAGTTTAACACATTGGCCACAAAGAAGGGAAAGGAAGCGAAGGGCCCCGCATTTGTTATGTGAAAATTGTACCTGTTCGCACACATGCCTGGATGCGTAAGTTGGATATTTGCGTGTATACGTGCAGAATTGTATATGAGTAAGGAATGAGGAGAAGCACAATATCTTTTTTAGAACGGCAGCATAAAAGTAATTTCATATATATTGTCAATTAGATAACATTTTATTTTGAGAATGATATCATTTGTTGATACTAGTCTGTTAATTGATTGTTAACTTCTATTGCCGTTTCATTTATTGATTATTTAAGTCTTTAATATATTATTTAATATATTGCTTAATCCTTAGAGAGAGAAAAAACTTTGGAGGACAAGTATTTCTTTACGTACTATCATGTTGGAAGAATATTTCTTTTGTTTATATCTTTGCAACGAGTAAACTAATTTCGTTGCTGATCTATTGCATTAATAAATGTCACGCTATATTCTACAATACTGCAACGCTATTACTTATATCGTGCGAATAAACTAGCGCATTAGTGCACTAAGTATTTTGCTATCGCGTGTATCTTTCACTGCCATCTATACACTGCCGTGATGTCGATGGCAATAATAAAATCTTTAAATCTATTAACAGCAGTGAGATAATACTTAATAAATGTTGTGAATACTTGCGAATTATTTTAATCGCTTTTTACACGAGAAACGCAATAAATAATAAACTCGCGGTGTGACGTACGCGCAGCGAGATCATTAGACAGCGTATAGCCTTAAAGGGAATAGCGAATGTACTAAAACATTTATTTCTCTAGCATTAATCTCTCGCAATTTGGAGAATTATGCCAAATTATATATTTGCTTGACAACAATAATCAAATCATGTGTGTGTGTAACGATTTATACGTTTATATATGTATTTTTCATACACAGTGTGTAATTATATCGTGAGTCGACAAATATAGTACCTGGATACTACACTTCACATATCGCTTGTGATCAAGTGAGTGTAAAATTTCGTTATTCGTAAAAAAAAAAACAAACAAATATAGTAAGCGTAAGTCCTGGAATTTACTGATATAGCAGCATCTAACGTAGCATTTCCCTAGTCTCTTTCTTCATCAATTATTTACTTAATCGCCATTAGCTTTAAACATTTTTTGGTCCACACACAAATAATATGTCTAAATTAAAATCTTCTCTTAGAAACGATGTACAATTGTCACTTGGAAAATACGGAGCTACCTACGTGCGTTATATTAGTGATACACACATTGCGTAGTTTGTAGATATATTTTCGATATTTATACCCAAAGCAATTTTCATGATATTTATAAAATAAAACAATAACGATCCACCTGCGTGATGAACGTTAAGATACGACATTTCGCTACGAATTATATAAATTTGCTTGCGATGCATCAAGACTTGTATGTCATATTTATCAATCAAATATACTGTCGAGACCCAGTCGTGTGATACCGCGCACTAAACAGAAATACCAAAGAGTGTTGTTATCTCACACAGATTACAGGCGAATTTACTGTCGCGTGTCAACTGCTGAATGAATTTATACACAGAACATCAAAAATTATATGTATACCACAAGCAGGGATCTCAGTAATAAAAAAGAAACATTTAGTCACATCGGTGTTGCTTTATTACTTATATTAAAGTGCAAAAATATATTTTGTGTTCCGGAATTCATAAGTAATAATCAATTTAATTCCGATTGTTGCATCATTGCGCAACAAGAATACAGCATATTATACTTATCTGATACATCAAATGATCATGTTCATTCTTTTTAGCATTTTCTACTCAGACGGATATCAAATGGACGGATATATTTCACTTCAGTACATATTATTATCTAAAATCTAGATATGTAAAATATACAAATGTATTCTATTGCTCTAACAATTATGAGATATATCTTAATCTCTAATCAAGTAATAAAAAAATATTAGAAAATTATAAAACATTTGCTCTTTGAATGACTTGATGCGATCGATTGTGGAAATAACTATTTGTCAAAATATAAAAGTATGACTCGAATTTCACGAGAAAAAGTCAAAAAGGAAAAAGAACTTTTTTGATTCTCCAATCGATTGAAAATTTTCCTTCATTTTCTGACTTATCCTCGTGCAAATATCGATAAAACGAGTATCAACAATTCAGAAGTAAGAGCCTCTCGTTGTGGTGCCGTAAAGCAATTCTGAATACAAAATTTCGAAGAAAATCTATTCTAATTAAATTTCTGTTTCCTTATGATTGATATCTCACATTCATAAACCGTTTGATAAATTTAGCTACAAAATTATGCGTATATGCTGAGAGGATTGAAATCATAAATCGTTAAAAGAAATCTGCCAAATCTTATTTGGCAGTAAAAATAAAAATCTGACAATAAATTGTTACAAGACATTGCTTTTATCTAAGCGTTACGTTTTGCGATGAACACTCTGGAAATGCCATTGGCTGAGCGATCAACAATTGTGATCGAAATTCGATTTGTTATTTGGACGGAGCTCAGAGAAAGGCGAGGGTGAAAAATGCATTCATAATAATGAACAATGAATTCGTCAGACTCTCAGAGATCTTGAACCATTCGGCTGTGAAACAGTTTCGTCCAGATCACTAATAAAGCCATTGGCATGATCCACGTGTATACAGTGCTCGGCACGAAGGACTTTGCCGAATTGCATCCGTCGGTGGAACATGTGTACACACAGGTGCGATAGGTCAACTTGTCGCCCGGCTGCTTAACGTAGTCGCAGTAGTTCCCCAGGTGCGCGGACGAACAAAATCGCTTTGTACCGATGCCACCTATTTTCGGATATAAACGTTAGATCATGTGATTTGTTTCTATTTCTCACATATTCAATAATATGTGTCAATCGAGTGATGAAGCGGAATGTGTTTTACAAGTGACAAAAAGAAGAGCGATACCTCATGATACACAGAAAGATGCATAGATTATCATTTGTCGCGCACACTTTGTGGAAATACATGAAAATAATTTATATGTTTGGAAGATCAAAGTCAGGCATAAATTTTCTTCAAACGATCAAACTACAGCTGTTTTTATTAAGTCATTTTTAAAGCGAGGAACGTAAAAGAAAATCAAAAATTATTCCATGCTTAAATAATCACTTTTTGGAGCAGGAAACATGATTGCTTCTTTCTAATCACCCTCTATTTTTCCTAATAAACATTTTATAAAAAAAAAAACAACTAATATCTTAGAAATATGGAGTCGTGCACGTTGTTTGTGCTTCAAATCGTATATTTCAGCAAATTAAAAGTTTTCTTTAGCCTTCTTTTATTACTTATTATTGAAATTATTTCCACCATATTAGATAAAATACAATGGATGCAAAAGCTTTTCCAAATTAAAAGGTACTCGACAGGTAATTGACAGGCAAACATCTGATTTTAGAATTCTTAAAACTTCTTGAATTACATACATTGTAAGGTGATTAAAGTTTCCAGGGATTACTTGCTCCGAAAAGTAATCGTTACCGACGATTTAGCAACACAAACATGCACACTTGACAATAAGAAAAACGTTGTAACTTCATATAAGAACCTCCATAACGGCCAATCGATTTGATGCAGTAACGCGCATCATGAACATGACTACAGTTAGCCGGCACCAAAAAATTTGCAACCAAATCACCGTCCATGCATTTCCACTCATCCCCTGATGCGCACTGGTAGCAATCCAAGGCTATCGCTTGATTAATTGAGAAAGCAATGATTAAACTTCTAATTATGATTATGATTGATCAACACTTAATGTTACACAAATTTCATCAATTATATGTTACACATAGTTGTATGACAATTCTTAGATGTCCTTAATAATGATCCATGCTTCAATGATGTTTCTACGATAATATGAGAAGGGATTTCAGTTAGTAAATGCGCTGGATTGTTGGAATAGAATTTACAAAAATGTCAACATTAAGAACATAACAATTAAATGTTAAAAAACTGCTTATAGCAATTTGCTTCATCTGTGAACGCGATCCAAGATCTCACATGCAAGACATGCACAGCAAGTATGATTCTAGGATATCTGAAAAACATGGAAAGAATTGCTCAATTTTACAGAGTCCTTGGCATGCCCTGTTAGATCCGTGCTCGAGATATGATTGTCAGTTATCAAGCCTTCCCTGTATCGCCTATTAAATTATGACTATGTTAGATTCCCAAGCCAGGTTATGAAACACCCTTGTTGTTGTTTACCCTCGAAACGGCCTATGTGCTTGACACAATATTGCGCCCCATAAACGTCGTTGCATGATTCCGGCTGAAGATCCACATCGCTCTTTAGAAACTCATTGCACTGAAAAGGGTATGTGGTGCTGGTGCTGTTACACCGATAACACCTGATGCTATATCCTGAATTAAAATATTATTTGTCAAACTATACAAAAGATATATAAGACATACGCTGCTCAATTGTACGTTAAACAAAGGGAAGATAAATGATAGTTCAAATTCTATTTCTATATATGTACAAATTAATACGTACACAAGAACTACTTAAAATACATATATTTATATGTAAGAATTATATTTCTTTATAGTCACTCATTTATTTTTCTTTCTCTATTACTTAATTATAATTTTACTTTTTCAATAATATTTCACACGTAAAATCGAAAATAAGACAAGATAATGTATGCCCCACCCAAAACACAAAACGGCGTGATCTCAATGATTAGTCGCGTTCCTTTTAGCATCATGTATTAACCTCACCTGTTTCTATTAGCAATGAGAACACCAGAAGTATGTATACTCCGATGGCGAAATTTACGTTGCCCATTTTAAAAGTTAACAGCTTCACACGATGGTCCACAGCAAACCTCTGTTCTGATACTCTTACGATTAACTTGACGTATCTAACATCCACCTGTTCGACCACCAATGACCACTGGTTGACCACAAAAGCTGATGTACCATGCACAGTCGTTTATTAAAACTTAGGAGTGAAACTTCATGTTTTTCTTATAAATATGCATCTATCATGAATTAATTACACGAAAGTTTTAACATATAGCACAAATCAATTTATAATTTAATCATAAAAAAAGAAAGAATTTGAACTGATTTTGGAAACTTTACGTGAGTAAAGGATGTAACTCTGATGAAATTCTGGATATAGAGTCGATAAAGAAGTCCAATGTTGATAAAGAAATTCTCTGTATTTATGTTATTGCATGTAAATTATATAACTTTTTATTTTGTATGTTTATTATGAAAATGGAGTATAGAAAAGCATGACATTTTTTATTATATTCACATAATAAATACCTATTAATAATATGATGTTACATACATCGTATTTATTTTCCCATTCAATTATCTTCCAAATGACATTTTCAAGATAGCGTTTTGAAGATTACTCCGAAGAAATATCTTTTTTTACATCATTTCGAAGGAGAAAACATTCACATCTCAAAATAATTTCAATTTGAAATGGATTTTTGGAGCAAGCGCCATTTTTGGGGTTATAATTGCATGGAGAAAGATTTGGTAATCAAATAGTCTATAAATAAGTAATAAATATTATTATGCATAATAAAATTGAATAGCATTCTATATATCTAATATGTAATAATATGATATATACATTTATACGTGCGATTTCAGTTTGATTATCTTTCAATCAAGGAAGCAAATATATCACTTGATAAGTAATCAAAAGCAACATCACATCATGTTGTATTATATACATAATGCAACGTAAACTACAAAATTTGTATTATTTCTCGCTTTTGATTCGATATGGCTACAGAAACAGGAACTTCAATAAGAGATTTAACTATACGCTTTGCACGTTACATATAAGATTTCATAAGTCGTAGTGTAATCGAAAGTGTCTTCTTTCGTAAGAAAGTGAGTAAAAACGAAGAAAAATATGAATTGGTAACTCATTTTCAGTATATCAGCCGAGTTCATTTAGGATTTTGCTTTATGCTCAAGTGCAGAACTCCTTTCCTTGGTAGCAGTCTCCATTTCTTTCAGTTTGGAAGACCTGGGTTTCATACATCTACCAATCCTGGCTCTGTCGCGCATTCCTTTGACACTCTGTTTATCGTAAGCGCGCGACGTCCTCAATGATACCTTTGCGCCAGTTTCTTCCATATTGCAGGACGATTCTCCGATCTCGGGGAGAGCCTTAGATATCCTCGAGATGATTTTCAATCTTTTCGCGCCCTGTTTGACCACCGCTGTCTCTTCCGAAGATACATGCGTCTTCGCCGAACTGTCCGCCAGCTTCTTACTTGCACACGTGTGCGTGTTTAAACGCGGCTCGAGGGTGTCGTTAACAACTGATCCTACATTAGACTTGTTCAAGCCGTAGTGCTCGATCGTGTTCAGAAATGATTTTTCTTCCACTTCGGATCTTATCGCGCAGATTATCGCGCTATTCTCCGCATTGACACAGTGATTTTTTCGACGGGCAAGCGTTGGCCTGGGCTTCTTATTGCCCTTGATTCTCTTCACCGCCGTATAAAGCGAAGCACCGCGACGGAGGATGCACTTTCTCATCAGATTGCCTTCGGTTTTTAAAGCGTTTCTCGCTCCGGTCACCGCGTCGCTCAGTTTCGTTTCTATTTCTTTCAGAATACAGGTATTCTGAGCGATGGTGCCTTCATCGTCCTGTAATTCAAAGGCATACATGAAGATTGGTACTTGAGAAATATTTACAAAAATATTGTTTACGCATGACCCACAATGATGATAACATAAAAAATAAATCGTGTATGTGTGTGTGAGAGAGAGAGAGAGTGAAAGTGAGAGAGAGAGATGGATTTTATTCAATTATTAATTATGCAAATGTGACTTACCCTTTTGTGCTATGGCGCTATGCATATCAAAAACGAACAAAATGCGGCACATATCATACACTTTGAAAAAAGACGAAGCGCGTCTACATGTAAAATACATAAAAATTAAAAAAAAAATTATAAAGCAAAAAAAAAAGAGAAATAGCCTGCAATGCAACGAAAAAGTACTTAATTTGATTAATAAAAGTATCTATTATCGTATCTACTGTATTTCTATAAAATCGATTTTTGTGTCAGCATGTTCATACTCGTAGAGTGCTGTGAAACACATCGAAATATATCGTTCCAACCTATCGATATTCCTTATCTACATATCATTTACACATTTCGTCGAAATTCAAAACTTATAAATAGTAATCTTAAGTTTGCTATCGTTTGCCAGCAAGCAATACGCGATATTTATGCTGAATCGTCTCTCATTTGTCGGGGATTGATATTGTGGTCGGGATTTCCAGGAAACAAATAAAAGTAAGATAAATAAATGGTCGCTAAAACTGTAACATTTATTAACACAGTTGGATATGTAAGCCCGTGTGCAGTACATTATGAAGTTTTTGTACATAGACGTATACACAATCATGAATTGGACTTTAAGTTTCTGAATGACTCGTTCAAGTATATTGTCAAGATAAAACTTCATTGTCTGACCGTGAATATTTGCTTATCCGAGGAAATCTTAAAATTGCACATTATCATACATCTTTATAATGGTCTCAACATTGATATATTACGTTTTTATATTACCATCTGATATAGATATATTAAATAGAATTAGATCAAAAAGAGAAATAATCATTCCAAATAATTTTATAAACTTTTGTATGCAGCGTGTGTATTTTTGAACTATATATATATGTATATATAGTTGAAAAATAGACGCACATACATATGTATAGTTAAACGAGCAACATGTTTATATTTTAATCAACAAGCCGCCATATCCCACTTCAACAATTCCATCAGCCAGAGATATATAGTGGTTTAACCACTTATATCTCCACGTCGTGCCCTTTGCTAAAGAAATAGATATAATTAATTACAAAAATGTGTAACATCAACAAGTTCTGTTCATAACTATTCACATAGACTCATCATCACTCTTTGTTTTACTACAACATAAGTTAAAATGATACGATTATAAGTGCACTTGTGTGCGATTATCAATATCAGTGCAGAAAAATTTATTATTTACAAACAAGTATTAATATCAAGTAGAAGCGTTAATGTGTATGATTGATGGGCGCGTTGTGCTGTCGCGATATAAAATGAATCAATAATGCGAAATTTTTGTACATATTATTTATCCGTCTCACTTCCATTTATCAATGTAATTTTGAAATTTTGTCTTAAAGAAATTTGCATGCGCGTTACATGCCATATGTAAACACTAAGCGAATCATTTGTACAGTGAAAACAGACAGTCATCTGCAAAATTCAATGAGATTAGATACATTATATAAAAATGTTAATGTTTTTAATTGTTTAATATCACGAAATTAATACTTTTAATATTTAATAGAGAATATTCCAATGTGTACATTAATTTAAAGAAGTATACGAGATATCAATGTCTTGTCTATATAAAGATATCAAATTTGGAAGACTATTAAGAAAAATTATATAAAAGTAAGAGCTTTGCAACATATATTTCGTATGTGATAAATACTGTCGTCAGGAATAACATTCGTCACGTTCATTATTGTCGCAAAATATTTTGATTTACATATTATATGAAAGACCGAATCGTGTTTCTGTACAATTACAGATTTTAATACAACTCGAGATATATATTCACATAAATTTACGATTTTGTGAACACACAAAAAAAAAATCTCTCTCCCACACTTTTAATTATACACAAGTAAATTTATTTTGTATTAGGCACTAATTATTGTAGTGTTAATGCTAAACAGCGTACCAAGTTAGTTGGTGAACAGAACAAGTGATTATGATAGTATACACTGTCTTATGTCAGCATCGCAAACGTCACTCTCACTACTCATATCAAAATTTACCTTACGCAGCGATTTGTTGAGCGGTGCGGAAAGATTGTTCACATACGTTAATTTCAAATGAGATCTTACTCCTCTTAGAGAACGGTATTGGCTGTTCGGCAATCGGCTGTTGGGATTGCTCCCGGTGAGATCGAGGATAGAAGGGCCTAATGCTGCTCCAACCTGCGTATTATCAGTGACATATATATATTTTAGCAATTATCTGAGAGTTGAATAAGTATAAGAGAAAATAAAATGGATGTACCGCTTCAAATACCGTCGGGGTGTATTTCGGTGGGACAAACATGTGATTAATAGTTTTGTTCACGCCATCGCGAACTCTGGCCGGTATTGTGTTCACCAAACGACCAGAGTTGTAATTGCACTCTAACGTGTAGCTGCGTACCAAACCGGTCGTCTTGTAGACCGCTACGCGTCCCGAACCTTCTCTCGACATACCGTCGCGCTTGTCTCTATCAAAATCATGTACTTAATACTTCAATTGCATATAAAAGTGGACGTAATCTCAATTCTTCAACGGCGGACATACACTCACATAATATACATATTTCGTTCGGCAAAATTGCACGATGTGAAATGAAAGTGTGGATTGTTGATAGACATCAATTTAGGCAACAGCATACACATAATAGTATCTTCCGGATCGGTAAAGTGATTGCCGTACATGAAGACACCTTTCTTCGAAGCGTGACCGTGAAGATCGATGTATAAAAACAATCCAGAATTATCTGAAGATTTTGGTAATTCGTCTACAGCTGTATAAGTTAGTTTGCTATTTGTTCTATCTTCCGTAACGTTATCATTTTTGTCGCTCTCTTTCCGCAGTTCTTGGCTCTCATCTATATATGACAAGAATAAGCAGATTAGAAACCATAAATTCATGGAATTCTGTGATACAAAATGAATATCAGTACCAATAACTGTACTGTTCAAACACTCTAATGTCAACAAATGGTTCTTAGTTTCGAAAGCACATCTGTCCTTCTCGTCTAATGACATAAGTGTACCTATAAAAAAGTAGTAACATTAGAAGGATAATGTTACAGCTTAATGAAATATGCATTTACTCGTACAAATTTTCTCCCTGATCGTATTCGCAATATAAAAAGCAGTATTTATTAATAGAAACTTTATCATTTTTTATCATACTTGTTGCAGAAGTCTTGTGGTAGTATCACGTACAGCGTTTACTATCGAAGTAGTTGAGTTTATAATGCTTACGTTGCTATCCACAATTTCTAAGTTTATATTTGATAGGTCGTCAGTCAATTCACTTGGTAATTGATAGGAATAGTGATAATATCTAGAACAAAAGTACATAAAAATCGACGGTATAAGACGTGTATTACGTTAATTTAATTAGAAATACACACAAATTACCTTATTAAGTTTCTTGCAGCATATATCGTGGGATGATCTATTTCGGAAGGATTTAGATAAACTCTATTCAAATTTACTCCTTTAGTGTCCATTCGATAATGACCTCTGGCAACACCGTCCGGATTGAGCATTGGTATTAATTTGAACACATAGAGGCGACGTAAATTTATGGCAATCTGATCATCGCGATTTAGTAGAAAATTGAGGAAGCCGTTCAAGACAAAGCTAGATGGTGTTTCACCTGGATGGACTCTGGCACTGATTAAAATTATCTAAAAAAAAAACCATGTATTATATATATATATATATGACAAGAGTGCACTTGATTAAAAATAAAAATATCCTTTATGTTAACAACAATACCTTTTTGTCCCAAAATTTGTAAGGCCTCTCCTCACTTATCTCAGGAAACATATTATTCAGTCTATCTTCTCTCTCCGTTGATATGTTGTGGTAAGAGCTTATCGTTAATACATCCAGTCTGCGATCTTCCAAAGATTTTATTGCACATTCTCTGTGATAATAGATATCATCTGTACATATTGCACTCCTCTTTTCCATTCTCATATCAATTCTTCTCAAATAATTTTGCAAATCTGTGTATGAGAATGGATAGGTGAAAGCAAAGTAAGAAATGGCCTTTGAATTTTCCGGTGTGTGATAAAGAAACGATAAAGTAAAGTCGTTCCCCTTCTGGTCAAGCTGCAATTAAATGATATGCTATAATTAATACAATCTTGCCACACTCCTGGATGTACTATAATTATGTATGCTGCAATTACAGTGTACGTAGGTTTTTCTCGAATCCGTTCCCAATGCAAGTGTCCCGGCACGATCTTAAAGACGGGACACATTCCTTGACTGAACATCTTAACTTGCTTGTTCAGATTGACTATGTTAAATTTGACCGAGACACTTGGACGACTAGATCTGACTCCAAAGTAAAACCAAGTCCTATTGTTATTTTGAAATTGTGTTTCGTGACAGTCGTGCTTTGTCCACAAATTAAATTCATACTCTGACACCTCTTTAGAATTTGAATTATTACTTGATTTACCTTCGATTTCATAAACATCTAAAAATAGTAAGATGATATTGTATCATTATATAAGAGAAGCAGATTTTAGTCATATATATATATATACACTCAACAAGGTTGGATTTATATAAAGTAAGATCGATCTTTACTTAATTAATTAGCACAAAAAAAATCTGCAATTTGACACATTTATATTTACATTAACAGACACATGTACACACTTATTCATATCGTGCATTTCACACACCCAAATCAATAAAATATGTATGTAAGAGGAAGATTCCATTACCTTTGTCAGAAGTTTCTGGTATCCTCACTTGTTCCACTTTAGCCAAATTGGCCGAATCAAAGTTGTTGAAAAACAAGAAGCCACCGCAGGTAATGCTCTCAGCCGTGCTCGCCATAGTGCAACGAAGGTTACATCCACTGCGACACCGACTCGCGAAACGGAGGGCAAGTCATTCATACAACACCGTCAGCGTCCTGCTTACAACACAAATGGGATTTCTCTTCACCCCTTCACCGATTCGACCTCGAATACCGCCGCAAAACGCATTTCACATTGTCAACGATGGCATTTTGCTCTCTTTCCCGCGGGGCAAATTGCTTCTCACCCTCTTTCTCTCACTCTCTCTTTTTGTTCTAACAGTTCTCGATCATATGTTCTTTATTTACACTGCTTAGGATATCGTACGAATGGGACGCAAAACTTCAAAACGGCACGCGGCATTTTTTTAGTATCGACATCTTTCGGCGTCTCTCAGCATCTTTTGTTATCAAACATTAACCTCGTTTTTGATCAAGAGCAATCAAGAGAGAGATATATTAACTTACAAACTGTCTCTCCTAATCACAAATTGTCAACGTCCGGCTTCACTTTATGTGATATTTATTTACATATTTAATGGTGCATTCTCAAAAAACGGCTTCACAACCGTTTGATTGACAATAATAGTGGATTCACACTGCGTGCATTATTCGACACACGATATTCGATATTCACTAGAAAAAAAATGTTCCGTCTAAAAATTTTCCAAACGTCCCAAAAAAAGAAAACTAGTTTTCTCATTAAACATTGAATGCTGTATGTCGACGATGAAGTATAAATCTCACATAAACAGTCGTAGTGTGCGATCTCTTTTCGTCGGAAAAGCATAAGATTGATTGGACACCTCGCGATACACGTATCGCGGCATGTGCGCATCAGAACCGTTATATATTACAAAGAGTACAAAAATGCGCCGATCGTAGCGCGTATTGGCACGGAACGGAACAGCTGATTTTCGTTAGCCCGGCAGAGATTGAAGTATATGCATTGTTGCAACATTCAGTCGTGTCGGAGCGCAAGTGAATATCGTATTGTTGTGGTACTATAGCGCTCGCTAGTAATTCGTGCGTATAAAAAAATACAAGTGAATCCGGCTATATTCCGACTGTAGACCGTATTCGGCTGCTCGAATCATCGAATTGATATTGCGCGATATTTACGCGGAGTAAATAGTATCCAAGAATTATGGCCAGTCCGATCGTTAATACTGCCAACGGATATAACTTTAAAGTAGTTTTACTCGGCGAAGGATGCGTCGGCAAAACCTCGGTCGCCCTGCGATACGTCGAAGACAAGTTCAATGATAAGCACATCACTACTCTACAGGTGATATTCTACGTACTTTTTCAAGAGTCACCGCTCCACGCGTGATTACTTTCGCATTGTTTGCTTTAATCTATTTAGAGCTGATAATTATTTTTATTTGTGTAATTTTCACTTTATTTTTTAATACGAATAAAATATGTTTCTTGAGAGCAGCTAAATCAAAACTATATATTATACAAGACTGCTCTTAACAATGTGTGGAACTTAAATTTGTATTATGTAAAAGTGTTTATGAAAAGAAATTATATATAGCGTATTCCATAAGATACAATCTTAATTTGAATGGCAGATTCTATGATTAATTAAAAATTAATTTTTTCTCAGCGAAAATGTTGAGGTAAAAGAGCTTCACAAAGTAAGCTTTAAAAGGATAAATGGAAAATAGATTTGTATTTTGTAATCACAATGTGAAGTAGATTTTACTTGAACGGAACTTTAATTTGAAGATTGATTATTAAGGTGCGTAATGTTGAAAATTCGAAAGCGGATAAATAATGACCTTTAATATTTCTGTTCAGGAGAAATCAATTTCAAATTGGTCAGAGAATCTGTCATTGAAATTACTATCATATTAATTATTAAGACGAGAGATAATTAAAACTTATATGATTTAAAAACACATTTTGAAGATTTACTGACTGCACTTTTTTTTCAGGCATCCTTTTTGAATAAAAAATTGAATATCAATGGAAAAAGAGTAAATTTGGCGATATGGGATACAGCTGGACAAGAAAAGTTTCATGCGTTAGGACCAATTTATTACAGAATGTCCAATGGTGCCATTCTAGTTTATGATATTACGGATGAAGACACCTTTCAAAAAGTACGACCAACAACATATTCAAAACATTTTGCTTATTTCCACAGTTAAGGAAATTTCTGTGATATTTGAGTTTTATTGTTAGGTGAAGAACTGGGTGAAGGAGCTCAAGAAGATGTTGGGTAGTGAGATTTGCTTAGTAATAGCGGGCAATAAAGTGGATCTGGAGAAAGACAGAAATGTTGCCATAGAGGAAGCCGAAGAGTGAGTTGGACGATTTTCTTTTCACCAGGAATTATGTGGGCAAATACAAAAAATGTGATGATAAAAATTCCTTTTATCAGATACGCCAAACAGGTGGGCGCTATGCACTTTCACACATCCGCCAAATTGAATCGGAACATTGAGGAGATGTTCTTGGATTTGACGCGACGCATGATGCAACGTGCGGACGAGGCTGAGCAGAAGTCCACCCTCACGAGGACCAACAGCACACGTCGCAACGTCGTGATGGTTGAAGACGAGGCGGAACAAACTCAACCAAGCAGAGGTTTTTGCTGCAGTGGTGGTGGTGGTGGCGGTGGTAGCAGTGGCGGTGGCGACTTTTCGTAGACCTTTTGAAATCCATTTGTGTCCATTGTCAGATAAGGTCTAATTTCGATAAGCCACGAGTTATGTACGGTATGAAGCACCTCAAGCGTGACAAATTGATATCTTCAACAATACTTCCCGAGATATTGATTTATCACACAACTAACTGTGTATGTGTGCGTGTATGTGTGAGTATTTGCATTGCGTATGTATAAAATGCATGTATATGCCTCTATATATATATACTTTGCTATTCGAAAATTGCGGCAGGTTAACTAAAGATTAGCTTGATAAAGACTATGTGACGCGGTTCTGTGAGACTGTAAATGAGATGTGGGCATTTTCAAGACTAGAAAAATTTTGTTTGGCTTTTATCCAAAATAAGATAGTTTAAGGTAATGTACATATTAAGTGCCTATAATTTTATTGTACAATACATTGATTTGGACTGGCTATTAAATAATTCGCAATATGTTTATTCATCTAAAATTATACCTAGCGATACAAGAGTTGTTATGTAAAGTTTAAATTATTGTTATTGTAAGTTATTTTACGAACATAAAATGATAAATTGTCATAATGTTATGGAAAAACATTATTACTTAGCATTTATGTCTCAGTCCCATTATGTTCCGAAAATATACAACTTTGGGTTACGCTTGTGAATTGTAATAAAAATTCATAACTCATAAAAATGAAAATGAAGACCTACAAATTAACATACTTTATTATACGTTTTTTTTCTATCGATAACATTAGGGAATGTAATCGGGTCGCATCAGTTCTATACAAGTCTGGATTAGTCTTTTCGATGATAGAGAGCGGGTTTAGGCTGTTGGCCCGTACTTTGTCCCAATTATCCGTAACGGCAGGACTATTTAAGGGGACATACAAATTTGCGGTTTCAGTTCCGCGAAAATTGTTATAATCTCTTATCCTTACATCTAGATGACAGACGAAATTAACGGAAAGGAAATGTTAAGAAAACGTTAGATTACACAATATTCGACAATTACACATCGGGTTTCTCCATCTTTCGCGCATTCTTGTTTTCTCTCTCACGATTTAATTTTCTCATGATATTCGAGTGAAATTAACGATTGGGTGAATTATTTTCTCCCTCGAGATCAAAAAATGTAAAATTATTTAGGACTTATCGGCGACGCGGGTATCGAGTTTATCCTAAACGCTTGTTTCATCGCGTTACAATTTGATTTTGAATATTATGTTAATCCTAAAATAGCATAAATGATTTATTCAATTGTATAGAAAATGTCACGAAAGATGAATTGAACTAGTTGAAGTAAAAAATGTGATTCAACTTTGTTTTACAATACAATATTATTTATGCTTATATGAGATTTGAGTGTGAATAATACCTCTTTATCTTGTTAACGTAGGGTGTCTATGTTACATAAAAATCTTCTGTTTTACATATATCTCGTTTTCCCCGAGTTATTTAAATACAGTATCACATATACTACATTCGTTAGACCACAACGTTTATTAAATTATCAATTTCTTTCCGATATATACAAAACCCTGCAAGAAATACGAAAGGTGCCCAAGTATTAAAAAAATTTATACGGTTTTCCTACTCCAAGATTTAGAATGCAAAAGCATTGTGTGAAAAGTGAGACGTTCAATTAGCTATATAATTAAAAAAGGGAAATTTATTCGAACAAAAATTTAAATTGATTCAATAATTGATTAAAATTAACAAAGTTTTGAATTAACAAAAGAATAATAACAACAAAATTAACTAAATAATTAAAACTTTGAATACATCAAGAAAATAATTTGTATAACTTAATAAAAGAAACTAATTCGTTGTTTAAGAACTTCATTAAATTCGACATAAAAAAAAAAAACATTAATAAAATATCGAAAAAGTCGAGACAAATCGCGGTTCACAATATTGAGATAACACACAGAGGCGTCCCCCTCGATATTTTCTTTTATCCTTCGACATATTATTTTCTATTTTATTAAATAAGTAAATGCTACTCTCTCTTAGATAATCTTACATATTATATTTACTGCATGACGTTCTCATTTATCTTTGGTATTCGGTCGTAATTTTTCTTTAAATATACACATACGTTGTCTTTCGAAGGCTGGCGTTTTAATATCGCACAGCCGAAATCTATTTGAACGTTCTACTCTCTTTCTCTCTCTCGTCCGAAAAATGATAAATTTGTACCTATTTGTATTAAAAAATCTTGTGCAAAATCGCGTGTAAACGAACATACTCTTCTCTACCCTCGTTTTTTCTTATATATCACATCGGATATAAAAATATTTCGATGAACGAAAGTGCGGACGTTGTACGCGTGGTAATGTTGACAATCGAATGTTTATGATTAGGCCCCAACATCGTCACCCATCTTGGTGCTCACTCTTATACTCTTAAATAATAAATATCTTATCTTGATTGGTGAATAAAAAGTCTATGAATTGATTTATGGGTCCTATCGCGGAGAGGGACATTCCGCGCGCTGGTGGTGCCCTAACTAGATTCGGTCCGAATACGACCGCGAGATTGCTAGACGTCATCTTATTCAGATCGCATCGGTCCATTACCTGTCGACGAGAAAACAAAAAAGAAATATTTCTGATTAGTTTTTATCTTGCTAATAGAAAACTACGACTGGTTTTACGTTACGTACCCTCGACAAAAATTGTACGACGTATTTAAGGACTTGGTAATTGTCTTCCGGAAGTTTTTCCAGTATTAATATCTTAACTTTGCGCGGACGTTCGTCTTTCGATAGTGCTACGAATTAAAAAAATTAACCTTACATCTGTCGCTGCAAAATTAACAGAGAAGAGACGTGCCAGTGATTATGAAACTGAGAGCCTTTAAACTTTAGGCGAATTAAAAAATGTTCAAAAAATATTGATTTAAAAAAAACTACATATAGTTATTCTTACAATGTAATTCTTTTCAATTAAATTTTTTTTTGTTTTTTGACTCGGTCCACTTTCATAATTATTGGTACAAATAAGATAGGACACTATGCTCACTTTGAAATTGCGTGATTTCGTCGTACAGATCGTACGTCATAAGCGGTTCGTCTAATTCACGCAGGAAAGTCTTGAGTAGAACCGCGGCGATATGCGGATCTCCTTGGAAATCAATGGGTAAGCCTTGATTACAGCGATTCTGAAGTTCCTTGATTACTGTCACGTTGGCCGACCGTCTGAATATCCCTTCTGTTTCCAGAGCTGAATGATAAGACAATTATTATTTTATGTTCTTCTAGATAGAAGGATTTATCATACTGAAATGCCATACCGTCAGGTGTATCGAGAAATTCCACGCATTGCCTTAGAATCGGTGGTATCGGATCGCTGTTGTTATTTTCCTTTATAAAGTGCAGACTAGCGCCAAACTGTGTCGTGCCGACTGGCGTGACCACCGCGCTCTGCGGCGGGCTCGCTGGCAAATTTTTCTTATTTTTTACCAACAATTGTTCATTGTGTCTAAAAGAATCGTCCCACATAAAAATTAAATCGTATGTTACATATTAATCTAAGTTAAAGCTCTCTTAATTTTATACACAGTTGCAAAATAAATTGTTTTACATAATAATAATAAATAATGAAATTACACGTACTCTATCACTTGAGGAGGTATAATTAATTGATCCAAGTTAATATACTGCGCTAATTCCTCCAAATAATTAACATACATCATCTTTCGGCCGAATTTTACACTGAAAAAATACAATTTTCTCTCGTGTATAACATATACAATGTTTGAGAAAACATTTAGAAGAAGAGTCAACGTACCTAATAGCCGGTTTGAATATTTGCCATACGATCCTAATAAAATTCGTCGGGTGCACTAAATAAAGGGCTTTGAGGTTCTTTTTATATTTTCTATCAAACGCTTTATACGCTTGCCACAACCAAGATAAAGGTGGCTTATTTTTCGACGTAAGGCCATAATGAAAGTAAACGAGACTATAATCTTGCTCCACAAATGTATCTAAAGTATGCGTGAGATACCTGCATTGAAAATACTTCATGAAAAAATCTATTCTATTAATAAAAAAAAAAAAAAACTTATATCAATATGGAAATGTACAGAAATCTTAAACATTCTGTTAATAAGGATAAGATATCACTCAACATTTGTCGACGTTGTCGACACTGATCGGTTGCCGACTATAGCAAGACGAGGAACTTCCGTCGGTGAGTTATTAGATTTTTCGTGATAAAGTCGAACGGTTCTGACTTCATACGACAATCGTGAACAGTGTTACATCAACATTACGGCATGTAACGACAAAATTTGTCGACAAACGTTAAGTAAAATCGCAGCCTAACGCTGTAGAATGACATGCAATCTTTGTACAATTCGCAGACAATTATAAATCATTGTTTGCGTTTCAGACAGACTCGCGTGTCGTCCCGCAATGTATTATCGTCATTTTACGACTTTACAGACTTACCTAAGGAGTTTAGCGTGATTGAAAGTCTCCTTTCCAATAGGAGGCAATTTGCAGGCTGACACAACTATTATCTTGCGACCGGCACTGTCATCGCCGACCACTTCTACAATGCCGTGCCTGGATATGTCAAGATAATCCTCCTCGTCGGCGAGCTCCCCGTCTAAAGCGGCTAGATCTTCCGCTGCTCATTAACAGAGATACATCTGTTGTAAAATTATATGATTTCGAGGTCGGCGAACATTTTAGGCATTTTGGATTGAAGAAAATTGCTTCAATCCAAAATGTTATCGGACAAGAGCTATTCGAGAGATCTCGGAAGAACCCTGTTTTTATAAAAAGTGTCACATTTCGCGAAACAATATAGACGGACGATTTATCGCCATTGTCGCGCTTCAAGGGCTCCAATTGTTATTTCCAAAAGGGATTAAGAAAGCAAAACAATCGTTTACATTCCTCTTTTCCTGTTTCATCCTTACGCCATGCAATATAAAACAAGCCAAATACAATGTGCTACATAATTCACCTGCTATGCCCCGAGAATGCCATGACATTTAGTGGCTACTAACAGAAGGTAAAAGGTCACACACCAGATTCGATAACCGGAGCATCTACCAAAGCTTCCTCAAAGTTCTCCTCAATCGTCCCGTCGCTCACTGGGCTTTCCAGATAATCCATCCCAGTACCCGCATTACTGCTCACCAAATCCAATTTTTCCTCTAGAAGTCGCACAGCTGCAACAAAAGATCCGCATTATATAAAAAAAGATTCTGATATTCCACAGCTACATTGCACAAATTAATCTTATATAAGTGTGAAAGACATAAAAAGAAGGCAAGTGTGTAAAAATTATAGTGAACAAAATTGAGTCTACATATCAATTTTCTGTCACAATCATATTAAATAAATTTAATAATTAAAGAATATTATTAGATTTTTCCATACAATGCTGATGATTGAATTTCTATTAAGCAATGTTATTAAATGTAAAGAAAACTTATAAAACCAGACTTCTTACCATTGTTTGAAGTAGTTTGTAATTCTGTATCGTCAAATTCCAGATTTGGCTCATAATCATGATAATCCGATAGACTAGGATATGGATCTTCACAGTCGTTGCCAATTCCTGTTCCAGAAAGTAAATCAGTCAATTGCAAATAAATAAACATGGAGAATAAATGTATTTACTTAGCATTTCTGAGAATTTCTGATTTAAAAAAGGTTTTCATATACTATTACAAAAAAAATTCTGTTTTACATGTTTTGTACAGCTAAATATTTATTGTTCTCTAACTTTACTTCTGCATAAAAGATTTATTATACTCTAATGTGTCAAAGTTAATTCTCAATCACACAGATACATAATGTATTTCATATGGTGCAGTCACTGAAATTTCTGAATTCTAGAGCTTCTTTTAATACATCTGTGAAAAAAAAAATAAAAATGCATTCAAACAATAGCGATAAACTTAATTTAAAAATAGAATAAACAAATATTAGAATAAAAATGAAATATATAAATATAACTCGACTTAAATACAGCTCAAATCTTGAAAATAGTAACCGCACCCATCAAGGGTTAACTTCACACCGTAGACCCCATGATTTCAATTGAAAAAAAAGTATGACCTATTTCTTTGGGAAGTATTCCACGTATTGTGCTGCGTAAAAAGATATCTTAGAAAATGACCGGTCGAGACGTACTGTAATATTTAAATGTGCTGTTTAACAAGCACGACAATCTGGCAGCTTTTACTTGCGAAGGGAACGATAAACACGTCCGTTATAACTGAGTCCAGTTAGCGATAATGCAATTCTATAAATCTAACAAGACTACATCTGTCGCGAATGACGTCCGTTTGACACATCGATCTCACCTTGTTGACACCGTCAACAATCGCAACGTATTGCAGCTTACCTATCAGCGTCCGCGACGGGCTCAGCGTCGTCGTCGGCTGATAGTCCGCTTCCATTTTCTCTCGTGCGTCGATATACACGGCGAGACGGTACAGCTCGGAGCTGCGACGCGGTATCGACGTTCACAGATGATTCACTTCTGTTTCCTTGCGCGACGACATTATCTTTTTCGCGACGTGTGCTACGTGTGGAAAAGTGGAAAGGGCGACGCGCGCTATGGAGATCACGTCACACTTTCAATTGTCGCTGTATTGCGTTGTTGCGATATCGCTAGATATCGATACTTAGTTTTGAATACTCGGTATCGATACTCGTGAGAAGAGGATTTGAAATAAGCCATGTATTAAAAGTTGAAGATCGGAATTCGAATTTTCAGAACAAAATAAGTTAAAATTCAGATTATTTGATCGATCGAATGTGAATTGCCAGCATGTCGCATCAATATACTGTCGCGTAGCTGTTCCGAAATTACTTTATTATCAGCACAATTATCAAAAGTTGCGGCAATTTGCAGTTTAAATATACGGTCAGTTCAGTTTGTCAGAAAACAGCTGTTTTCGATAAAAATTAAAAGAAACTATTAATTTTGGCAACTTTAATAGAAGTATTACAAAAAAGTAATGGTAAAAATGAAGAAAAATTTATAGGTATTGTAAAAACAAAGTTTCACAATAATGACAAAAAAATAGGAAGAAACATTCTTTTTTTTAAAAAACATTTTTTACATTTTTGTACATAATCATTATTCTGCAAATCTTAATATAAAAATGGATTGGTAGAAGTAGTTTGATATTGTTCATTCAGTTGACGAAATTCAAAAGCACGCTGATTTCGCTCAGACAGAAAATTAATCTCATTGTAAAAAATAGCCTGCAGGTGCAAAGTATTCTTAACTTTGGCGATGGCATTAACCTTGGTGAAAAGCGTCTGCGCTTTCGCGAGAATTTTTATTCCGCTTAGAATCACCTTTTTCCGCTTCTCGGGCGGACTTTCCGACGTCGATGCCATCAGGCATTTGCCGTACAACATGAAAGCATTACCCTGATCGTAACAACCGCCATGGCCCAAGATCGTGTGGATAGCGTCTTCCACTAGATTCAAGGCCAACATAGGCAAATCCATTAACAACTGGAACAATCAAAATGGTTAAAAAATTCATTGCTCAATTTATTGATTCAACTTACGAGAAAAGCAACCAAAAAATATCTACAGTCTTGTTAGAAATTATTTAAAAAAAATTGCATTTTTGAGTTACCAAATCTTTTTCCGACAAGGAAAACTCACTTGTAAGTTGGCGAGATGCATTTTAACAAGCGCTTTGTAGTACGATAAATGATATTGTGTGGCCAATTCCAAGGCCGAACAAAGACGAACTATACAATTAGTGGCAACTGCTGTACCGTTGCTCAGTGAGGACGAAGCGCATGTTATCTGACTCGAGAGAAGTATAGCGCGTATTATGTGCGATGGAATCGCATCCGGATGTTTCTCAACAACGCTAATGTATTCCAATCCCTTTGGAAGATCGCCTTTCGCCAAACAGACTTCCACCAATCTGGAAATCATTAGATTCTCAATTGTAAAATTATTAGATTTGGTTAGCGTGCACAAAAGAGTTTACGTTTATAAAGTAAATTCCTCATACTTGAGCTTGCATTCCAACTCGTCTAAACTGGAAATATTTTTCGCTGTTGCCTCTGCCTCGCTCCATTTCTCTTGTCTCATCAATTGTGTGAACATATGCAGTTGTTCGTTCAACATCCAAATCTAAGATGCAGTAAATTGGCAATAGAAAAAAGCCTCCCTTCTTTAATCGTTTAAAATTCGAAAATTCTATTTCGAAGTTTTCATTAAAAATCATCAAATATAGCTGTGACTTATATTTAATTAGTAAAAAAACGTACTTTGTTACACGGACTGTTGGGAAATCTCTCCTTAGCGTGGGTCAGCACAACGTCGGCGAGAGCATATTCGCCAAACTCGACCAGCATATTGGCAACAGTGACAATTGCCTGGCATGTGGAAGGTCCATTGAAAATATGCTGCTTCTTATCGCCCGTGTTGTGGAGAAGCAACAACTGGGCGCAAAGGGAGGCCATTTCCATCTTACCGTAATGCGCCCATAGTGCGGACTTCTCTGCAAAAGTGATGGACATCAAGTCGGGCATCGAATGCTGACAATTTAACATGTCCGACTTCATCAGTATCTGCAATGAATTTTTCGAATTTTAATTTTTTGCATTTATTGGAAACGGAAAATTATTCTCAATTGATTACCCACATCGAACACTTGAGGAGGATTCTTAGCTTCCAAGGCGTGATTATGTGCATGTGAGATAAGACTCAAGCCTGTCGTATGCGTAATTCCGAGTAAACTTGCTTTGCCAATTGAACGTTCTATGAGAGGTCCTCTAAATAATGAAAAAATGTATGCATAAAATCAGAGAATCTGCTTATAATATCTTGATTAATATCCAATTTTTATCAATATTCTTTATATTGTTCGCTTAATTTAAATTACATATAAATTCTAAAAAAAAGCATGTGTGTTATGGAATACTTGGGTGATAAGAAAAGAGAAATTTTTGTCATTGGCTTACTTATTTTTTTCGCTGGTTAAATAAGACATCCAAGAATGTGCAATCTGCAAGCACACATTATCTCCTGCTTCCTGGGCTAGTTTGATAGCTTCCCTCAAAGCGTACTGTGCTACTTTCCTTTCCAAAAAATCCACTTGATATTACTTGATTAAAAAACAAATATAATAATAAAATAAAATAAATATAAAAAAATTAATTTAAAAAATTTTATTTTAAATAACTAGATAAACCTCTTTAAACCAAATATCATTATTAAAAAAAATTAATTTAACGATAAAATAAGTAGATAAATTCATTACTTGTGATTGAATTGGGCGTGTAAAACGGCTAAGTTGAGCGCCGCGTATCGAAAAGTGCGAGATCGATTTTCGATTTCTTTTCGAAGGTTTTCGAGCTTTTGGGGATCTTCGATTTTCCGGGCATCTTCGGGAGATCGGCATCCCAGAGGTGCCATTCTGTCGAAGCAATGATAAAGACTGTCTACCGCTCCACAAAAGTCGCTCACGCGAATGCAATTCAGGTAACTCAAGTAGTGCTGGAGCGAAAAAATAATCTCATTCAATAATTAAACTAATTCGTATAAAAGAAAAAATGTTTATTGCATAACTATATTTGCATGACAAATATTTGTGTCCTTACCGCATCTGCATTGTAAGGGGTGAATTTTAAGAGATCTTGAACAAGAACCTGCAACTCCACTGGCGGCAATGCTTTATGCTCATCTGTTTGTAAAGCATGCGCTTGCTGTGCAATAAGTAATTCTGCCTGTCTTCCACGGCAGATTGTTTTCACTCTGTTGCAAAGAGCATCAATGTTCATTGACAATACAAATGCAGAATTCCATATACTTTACAGAACAATAAATTAAAAGTTTAGAAACTCACTTATTTATACTCAAATTTTCTTGCTTAGAAATTGCAGAGATCTCGGAATTTTCTGCACCAATTTTTCTGTCAATGTATCTTTTTAAGTTGTTATAGAGAGCGACTATTTGATCAAAAGCTAATTTTTCAAAGAAAACAAGCATTCTACGAACATATAGTCCAAGAACAGAATTCTTGTTTAACGCTGGTATATAGTGTGGATCCTTGCATACCATCAATCGACGAAGACTATCAAATAGATCTATCAATCCATGAACTCCTTTTGTATGTAATGCATCTAGATCTACTTCCAATTGATCCGCAAATCGATGTAAAGCATATTCTGGTGCATACAACATGTTCAGCACAGCACTTACTTCCATATCTGCTGACTAAAATGATTATGATAAATATATGTAAAACATTTTTTCTTAACATTCATGCGGCCTGTTAAAAAAAAATAAATCTAAGATTTGTAGAGAAGATAGTTATTCATAAAACTCTGAATAAAAAAATGTTGATCAGATATCTTTAATTAATTTAGTTTAACAAATATTATTAATTAGTGAATATTATCTGCTTTATAAGTTTTAGGTTTTTCTTCTAACTCTATATGTAATAAATATTTACCTGAATTAATTTCAATGACGCTAAACAGAAATCACGTCTTTCCACTAAACTTGCTGCAAAACATCAAAATAAATTTATTAATGTCCAAAACAAAAAATATAACAAATAATATCAGGGTGATAAAAATACAATTCTCAATCATATAATAAAAGTATAGACAATAAAATATACCTTTTGTATTTTCATTACAATAATGTTTAATTAAAATAACAGTAGCTATTTTGTAAGGGGTTAGGTTTTCCTTTTGAATTTTTTTCACACTGCCCTCTGAAGTTAAGCTCAGTAAGTCCTTGGACATTTTATTAAATATCTCATTCGTCATATATAAACGATTGCTATCGTTTACTGACATTTTTGTAAACACTTTATTTGCACTTAATAATGAAAATAAATTGCTCGCAGTCAGTCAGCTGACAATGCTAGAGTTCCAGCACAGTGTATACAGTAGCTCTGTGTCGGCCACTTTGATGTTTATAAAGCTCAAAAGGGAGTTCACATATGCGTCAAGTCAGCGAGTAAATACAGACTGCGTTCCAAAACTCACTGCCAGTGAAATCTACAATACGTGACGTAAACTATAGAACACACACTCGAATGTGATTGGTTTTTACCTTTAAATCCACCAATCACATTCGATTGCTACTTAGTCGCTTAGTGAACGCTCGTAGTCCTGGATGCACCTTCTTTTTTTACTATGATTGTATTATTCACAATCTTATCAGTGACAAACAATGCAATGTGCTTACAGCATATTACAAGGATGTCCCGGATTTTTAGAACGCATGCGATTTTATAATTTTGCGTTACATCACATTATGTTCTGCATGAGATTTCCATAAGTGGTAAGCATTTAAAATACATAATACAGAACCTTTCAGTTATTGCAATAAATTGTATAATAAAAAAATTTGTTTATACTGTATGAAAGTATTATTTTGAATTTTTATGAAATATAATCTATTCCTCGACATATAAAACAATTTACATTTATTGCATTTGTATTGTTGTAGGAGGATTATGACAGACATAGCATAGAAAAGATTGATTTAAGTTCAAGAAAATTAATTTAACACAATGGAGATTCAGACGTTCACATTCTTTGATTTGGAGACAACTGGTCTGATTCAAGGAAAAGTCATGCCAAAAATTACAGAAATTGCTTTAGTCGCCGTTAAGAGAGAATCGATATATAATTGCAGCAAAAATTCTCTACCCAGGATCTTGCATAAACTGGTACTTCCAATTAATCCACAAAAAATCATACCACCACGTGTAGAGGACATGACAAGTAAGTCTATAGTTATTTTTATTAGCTTATAAATTAATTAGTATAAGTATATTTTTGTCAATTGCTTTAATATGCATAGTTTTTTATTATTTTATAAATAAAGTAAATTTCTATAAGTTTGTTATACTGTGTTTCTATAAGTTTGTGAGTTATATAATAATTTTGTAATTTTATGAATTTTATAGAGTTATATAATGAGGATGTGCAATTACTGCAGCCTTTTGAATGCGGAATTTATGAATTAATAATGTACTTTCTGCAGCGTTTAACGCCACCAATTTGTTTTGTTGCACACAATGGCAATAGATTCGATTATCCGATATTCTTATGGGAACTGGAATGTATTAATAAGGTAGGTATGAGCTAGTTTTGACTATTTTCAGATTTTTTTTTTTTTTTTTTTTTTTCCTATTAACTTTGAGTGCTGCTTCTAGGTGTAAACTATTTTGCATCACACATTTTCTTTTAATTATTATGTATTACAATACATTTGTTGCAGTTCTAAAACAATAGAAAGTATATTGATCTAATTTTTGTACAAAAGAACTTTAGAGAAAATTATAAAATTATTATTAATTAATTATTATTAGCAAATTATAAATCTAATGATTAAAATTCTTATCTTTAATTGAATTTGATTCATAGCCATAGCTGTATCCTCTTTTCCTTTCTTTATTTAATGACAATTTGCTTCTTTTCTGTTACAGATTTTTGACGACAGAATTCTCTGCATCGACACATGGCCGATGTTTCAAGAATTCTTCGATAAACGCGATGCAGAACCGAAGGTAATTCAGGATTTGTTGAACGACGAGTTCAATGACTCGCTCTCCACGTTGGATGTAGACGTGCCGATGAGAAAGGAAAGAATCAACGTCCTTGTCAAGACGATGCCTACTTTGCAAGCAATACCTTCCTCTAACGATAGATATACCGCACTTGCGAACAATGAGTGGCACGACATAAAGGAGGAGTACAGTAATGTTCCATCACCAAACTCAAGACGCGAGGTCAATGAAAAAACACCAGTGAATCAATTAATCAGGCCACAGGATGCCTCGAGTACCGTAATCAAGCGATTCAAGAAGAATCCGAGAAAAAAATTAAATTTTGGATATGAAAGACCATTTGATATGAAGCTAAACTCTATTCATAACTACATGTTTGGTGTGAATTCACCGCAACAGCACTCAGCCGAAGCCGACTGCCTTGCCATGCTACGCTGTGTCACCAATATTGCCGGCTTCTTTGTTGAATGGTCGGATAATAATGCAATTCCATTGGTTTATTGCAAAAAAAAAGTATAATGTGATAAACGTTATATAAATTGATAAAAAAACTGATGAGCAAAATAGGATAATATGAAATATAAAATGAGTATGCATGGTTGTTGCGAATTACAATGTAATGTAAAATTATCGAGATTCCTTTTGACAAATTTATAATATTGGAATCTGTTGTTAAAGGTCTATTTTTAAAAGAAAAAAAAGAACAAACAAAAAAAGGCTGTTTTATGGAAATACTTGTATTAGGGAAATTGTTAAAAAATGACTGAGCTATGTTAAGCTGTTTAAGCTTATTTTAATTGCTTATGCTGTTAAAGCACAAGAAATATTTTAATCACTATATAGTATTTTGTGAAGTACCTTTTAAGAATGTTTTAATTAACAATAATAATAGTTGCTGTAATCTTATTAACAACTTGATATTACAATCGTAACAAACAGTTTTTCTATGTACTTATTTTTGTAGCATGTAAATTTGTGTTCTGCATTTTGCACATTAGTCTACAGGCAAAGATGTAATTGTGTAACATGTTATTTTTTAATTTATGTAACCAACTAACTTTATTATAATAACTGAAAATTAAAGTATAACACTGCAATATTAGTTTTTATATTGTGATAAATAAATAGTAAGATCAAGTACAATTTTTAAGTACTTGGTTTTGTTTATAGCTATGATGGTTGTCTTCATCAGTTCCTTCGAGTTTCATTTCTCTCTACTCTGAAGAATTTTTTCAAGGGCAGCTATTAGCTTCTTGCAGGTTGCGTCGCTGATAACGGCTCGGCCTTCTAACACCTTCATCAATTCTTTGTACAGTCCCTCCGCTCGTTCGTCCAGTTGCACTGATATCGGCAGGACGATATCAGTATGTGAGTTTTCTTTTTCTTCCAGTTTCGGCATCTTTTCTTCTCTCTCAGATTCCTTGAATTTATTCATTGTTGTTAGCATATACATAATGTAATCAATAAATATTGAGTTACTTTTATTTTATTTTTATCATTTATTATCAACTTAGATAGATTAATTAAATTTGATGTAAATAATACTTTTGTTATAAAAACTTGGTTACTTTGTATATTTTATTCTTCAATTTGTTTAACTAAATCTGCGTCTAGACATGTAATCCGAATCCAATATTTTTAATTTCTATAAAAATCTTAGTGTTGTAATTTATCTTATATACGTGTTTTTGGCAATTATTGAGTTTATTTTACTGATAATCTCGATCTATTTTTAGATCTTCATCGTACTTACATTGTACTCTCGGCATGTGTGCTCCTCATGAAGATCTTGGATAGCTTTAGCCAAATGTCTAAGGTAGTCCTGTGAATTTGCGAACTCCTTGAGAACGTAGTATGGTTTTGAGGATAAGTAGGCTTGCATAATGTTGCTGATGTTGGGTATTTTGGCTAAGGCCTTCGCTAAAACAGCGACCAACTGCTCTGAGCACTCGTGCCCAACGCACTCAAAAGTTTCGAGCGCTTCCTGACGTACCCAGATATTCTCATCTTCTAGCAAACAACTGAACAGCTCGATCAAAGTGGACGTGACGTTTTGAACTCTGCAACGCTCAAGATTCGCAACGCAACGTCGTAACAGATGACAGATCTTGATCTTGGCGCGAGGTGGCAGATGAGCATATGAGGTCGTGATGGATGTCAAAATCTAAAATGTTGAAACACAGATCTATAAAGAAAAAGGTATGTAAGTAAAATTTTTTTGTGAATAAGTAGACAAAAGAGATTTGTATACCGCACAAAAAGCGTCGTCTTGAAGATTTCCGAGATGTGTGCTATCGAGTAAGATAACGACCAAGTCGAACAATATATCCAATTGTTTGCCCTCACATTCGGTAATTGCGTCCTTCACAAAAATCCATAGTTTAGTTAAAATTTCAATAATGTCCTTGTTATCACTGTAATCTATCGCCGTCGTTGCGGACACGAGCTGCAACTGCGCAAACAGAATTTTTGAAGTAAAAATTTCAAAGTAAAATAGTATTATAAAATTCTTTAAGTATTGAAATCTCGGAGAAAGTTCATTTTCTTCTACATGATTCTTGTAGCTAATAAAATAGATACTAAAACATTGATTCATAGAATTCTAAAATAGTGATAAATACATATAGTAAAAATATAAAATTTTACATTTGAGAGTAAAATCAAGTTTCCTAGTTTTCTCTGACAAATCTAATGTATCGTCTTACAAGATGCTTCCAATTACGAATAGATGGATGTTCCTGCAGATCGGAGAAGGCCCTTGGTAAATCATCAAGTTTATGCTTTAATCGTTCCAAGGAAAAGCCTTTAGTTTCCGCCATTAGCATATACAGGATAGGCGTGTAATTATCTGTATACAGATCGATGAGGCTGTTGAGCAGAGCGAATTTTGTGTCTTCGGTCAGTGACATGTAAAGCCTGACGATCGTGTTGTCCAGCATGATCGCTTCCACACTGTCGCGTCTTTCTGCCAAAACGACGGACACTTTAATCATATGTTTAATGTGATCGACGCACAGTTGCGAAGTGCCGAGTCTAAAACAAGCACATAAGAAATCAGTTTTGGAGAAGAGTTAAAAATTCTAAACTTCTCGGTTCACTTTCTTTTATAATTAATTTTTAATTAATGCCATTCAATGTCATATCGTTCAATTATGTGTTATTTATTTGTTAAATCGTGCTTACTCACCTGCCAATGAAGCACCAAATGTCCGAGCTTAGTAGCGAGCGCCAGAAGCAACCAGACAACAGATGTTTCAGCAGAATCAACTCAAGCGCGTGGAAGCTTTCCGGTGGTATCTGACTGATCAGACCGCAGAAGGGTACCAGAGTCGCTTCGTAAATGCCGGCCAACCGCGGCCGTTCGCCGATTTTGTGAGCGCCTGGTAATCGCAGATCTTCAGCGCAGATTTCTTCATTGACTAGATCGAAGCAAGTAATTGAAGAAGTTTTAGCTGTAATTTCACTAATTGTGAAACGGTGAATGTTTCAATGTAAGTTCTTAAAATTATTGAAATGTTTTTTGAAGTATTTTTTTTTGTCACTTACGATGGTCCATAAATATGAGAGCGATATCCAAGACTGAATCGGAGCTTAGAGACCATTCGCACTGAAGTTCACACGGCATGCCATTCAGTTTCTTCATGATGGCGATTGTCAATAGATGATAACTCAATCGATCCGCGTACTGACCATGCGAGACAACTTGTCTTCCATACTTGAAATACACCTGAGATACGAAATTATTGCGTTATAATTTTTCTTACTTCTGTAATGAGACGTTGAACTTGATGACGTACTTCTTTGAAATCTTCATGATTGAAGATGATATCTAAGAAAGACGCAGCACTGACCAAGATTGTTCTTTCGCCACCTCTCGTTAAATTCAAACATGAGTACCTAAATCAGAAATAATCATTATGTAATTTTTACTATATTACATTCTATTATAGCACTATAATAATTTCACACAACACGAATATGAAAAATTTCTTACACGTGCTAAGACCGACTTTGGGAAATTAATATTTAATAAAATAATCATCACCTATGCAATTGCGCCAAGAGTTCTACTAGTTCCGACAGCGTTTCGTGCGTGAAACACGCGCCATAAATCGCTGTTAGTTTTTCAAGGATTTTCAGCAAGCGTGTAATGGCTATTACATTTCGTTCCGCGTTCTTGTCCTTCTGGTCTTTCTGGTCCTACGTCATTTATAATTAAAATCAATAAATAAAGACATAAAAAAATATGTACTCACTTAACAATTTGCTTTAAGATAAACCATGCAATACTAGCTGCATGCTGATGTACCTTGATTGCAGATAAAAAACAAGACGCATCTTTCACCATTTGAACAAGATGCGTTGTGACGCGATCCTGCTTGATATCGCTTTGATAGGTGATTGCCAGTTTGGCGAACGCCTCGGACAACTCGATGTACGTCTTGGTGTCCATTCCGCACGCGATAGAAGCAATGCTGCCGTGTGCATCAATCACTGAAAAACGACATTACAAAAATTACTTTGAGAATTATGTATAAATTTTTTTAGAAAAATTTTTCTTATAAAAAATTTCGAAAATGCTTTCCCTTCTCTCTTTCATAAAATTTGTTGTCATTTTTCTCCTTATCAAGGTCGCGTTCGCGATAACGCGTCAAAGATAGTTCTCAGGTTAAAGAGTCGTTAGGATGTAATGGGCGGATTGCTCTCACCTTTCGTCAACAGCTCCGTTTCCGATTGCACGTCCGTGTCGAAAACGATTACGCCGTTCAACGTGGCAAAGAATAGCTTGAAGATTGCACCTGCCTTTGCGAACAAATTTTTTAATTGTTCCATTGCGCCGCTCAAAAACACCCCATATCTTGGACTGTAAGATAATTTAACAATATTCTTAATTTTTCTGCGTATGGCACACTATAATTTTTGAATCTATATCGTGTTATCAATTTGTAACGATGTAGATAATATTGACCCATTCATTGCCAGCCAGAAATGAAGGATTATCGTTCATAGTTAAGATTCTCTTCTTTTGCTAGTAGAGATCTTCCTTTTATATCTTTATTAGACTTTCGCCCCCTAAAAGACATAGTACTGTGTATTTCTTTACCTTTTATTTTTATTCCAAAACAAAAGTACAAAAAATGGCAAATAAACCCACGGATAATAAATCCTTTTGATAAAATCAGGAGTGATTAACAGTGAATGAGTTGATAAGAAACTAATATTAGCAAAAATAATAGTAATAAATAAAAATTATATATAATATATTTAATATAATAATATGAAAAATTATAGTAAAACTATAATCAATATAAGAATAAATAATAATGTTTAAAATTAATCATAATTAAAAATATAAGGTAATAACATTATAGAAAGAATAATAAAGAATAATTATGTTGTAAATTGAATTGTACGAGAAATTCGAGACGAATGTATATCGATTTTACGCGGGTACCTGGCTTTGCAATGCTCAAGAATGACTTTTATCGTTTCGGGTAAAATGTCGCATAATGACATAACATGGACAACAGGAACTTTCTGAAGTCTGGAAATGTGTTCCACGCATCTTCTCCAAAAGGTGAGCAGCTCGTTGCAAACGCGCAATTTACACTTGATGTCATCCAAATCGTCATCGATCATCGCGCTATTATGCGTTATCGTATCATCTATAGCTCTCAGGACCTTTTTGAAAAAATTGAAGATATCACAATATTAAAAAAAGACGATGAGTATCAGATTAAGGAAAAATCAATAGTTTTTATCTGTTAAATTGAAAATAATAAATTGAAAAGCTTATTTCCAAAACATCTTAAATGTATATTTTGAAAAAAATGGAGGTTATGTATCTTAATCTTATTCGTGTTAATATGTATATCTACAGAATTATAATATTTAACACGTTTTCTTGCGCAAAATATATGTAAAATGATCTATAAATATGCTGGATTATTTCAACAAGATTTAGATCCACGAAAGTTCTTTTGTTTTCAAAATGTCCATTTTGATTGATATTGTGTTTCCTTTATGTAGATTATCATGCATTCTGTATGTATTGTTGATACATATAAAAAATACAAAAAGATAATTTTTTATCACAATTTGTGTACAGAAATATAATGTGTATAATATATACATATAAATGTATATTTGTTTTTGGAAAAAAAAACTTTTCGTAGCACAGTTTCAATATATTATGATTTTTTTCATTAAGTATTACGACTGATAGATAATATTATGACAATTCTAATGAATGGGATTTAAGATGTTTTGAAAATATATAGGAGCATTTTAAAAAATTGCATAAAATATAAAATTAAAATACAATATTATATCTTAATTTTTTTTAAATTTTAAGATAAAGATTTTATAAAATTACCTGTGACAAAAAGTGTTGAGCTTTTGGTAGAATTTTTCTGAAAATTTGTTTATCGAGCGACTCAGTCGAACACATGCGGAAACATTGTTCCAGCATTTGCACCAACTGTTCTGCATCGAGACTTTCGTTTTCCAATAGTACGTGATAATTGCAAAGAAATTGTTAAGGATCAATCATTTCATAGATTATATAAATATAAAACACATAAATGAGACTTAAAAATCTAACTTTCAACAGCAAATATAATACCGAAATAATTTACTCTTTTCAAAATTATTAGTTCTAGATTTTTCGACGTCAATATATTTTTTTCCTTTTTTCCTATAATAGATTATATTTCTAATATTTTTATTCTTTCTAGAGTCGTTCAGTATATTTTGTTTCCAACGCATCATTCTACATATTAAAGGATATTTGTAACATGGACACTTGGCTATCAAGATCCTCCAATTCGAATGAGCATTCGAAAGCAGTGGGTGATGTGCTCCCATTCATAGACATATTCTATAACAGAAACAACATTATTTACATTATTAATGTCAAAATCAAATATTATATAATTTCAGGGCAAAAATTTTAAACCAGAATATAAAGCATCGATGACGCCCGCTCTCTCTCTCTATTTAATAAGTACAATAAATGCAATTTATTGACTAAACAGCGAGAGCGTAAAAACGCTCAAACTATTCGCCGGTAATGTATTTCCATGACAGTTCCCAATATGGAGATCGATCAACTAGAAATGTAATCAGACACTCACTAATACCCCTCCCTTTGCCGCTATCAATTGCGAACGATAGTAGAGGAGGAGAAATGGGGTAAATCGAAAATTTCTTGGCAATGCTCGAGGTTGCGGAAGTTTGCTGATAAGAACGTCAATTAAGGCAGCGCCAAGCTCTAATCGCCGATTTGTCGAAAGTTTCTTGGCTGCAATTTCTGTGCCATCACCGGCAAGCAAAATATAGCCTACTTTTCGGGGAAGGGAATTTCACCGATCGAGTTAATACGTAACGCGTCAATCCGGCGAAATTCTCTCCTAATCCTTTAATTAATGTTTCGTGTTTTACATGTTTCGCGAATTATGCAATTTATCTGTCTTTCAGGTGACACCAGCGAAACAAAGGGGTGAAAATAAAAGTAATATAAAAATAAAAGTATCGATCAAGAATCGATAACTCGTGTAAAGTGGAAAAACGTTGAACAATCAAGTAGAATGTATGAAGAAGGGAAGACTGGATTCGCAAAAATGAAAATGTATAATTACTCAGTGGAGAAAGACTCGAAAGCTAATTCTCAACGGAATAAGGAGCAGGGAGAATGTTCTAATTCGAAGGAGAAGAGGAGAGAAGAGGGAGTCGGTGCTGAGTCGGCCAGGAGGGAGGTAAACGCGCGAGAAAAGAAGTCGATCCAAAGTTGGGAATTGGAATGATCGGAGTTATGGTCTATTCGCCATGGCAACTGCGGACAACAAGCTGTCAGATGATGGGCAGAGTATTTTGATCAATAATACCCAGCAGTGACTGGCTGCCTACCTGTCCGCCGGCGGTTCTCGAGTTCGATATACTGGAGTCGCGCGAACGGTGATTTCGATTCAACGACGACTCCAAACAACAGCACGTGGCTGTAGTAAGGACACAGGGTGGTGAGAGAAGGGGGGTGGTGAGGCCAGGAGTGGTTCCGACACGTGACGAAGCGGCAAGCGAGACCGTGTACCAGGCTGAGTCACGAATTTGGACGGAGGATGGATTTGAGCGATGCGATTTTCGATCCGGAGATGCTAATTTCTCCTTCCTAAATTACATTATACCTGTGGTATAGAAAAAAGTCATAAGGATTCATAAATTTTTGGGGAATGATACGAGATATGGAATGAGAAATGGTTTAGGGAATAGAGAAGATGTTCGAAAATTAATCAGCAATTTTCTCCTTGCTGTTTCTTCAGCAAATATCGAGGCAGAAAAGGCAGTAAAAAAAAAAATATGTACAAGAGTAGGTTCTCAATTGAATGATAACATCGATAATGTTCTTCTTGAAAGAATATTTTTTAGAAATTAGTCTTGAATATTTAGAAATCTCATTTGTTTTTTGAATATTATTTAATTTTTTAGTAGCATTACATGGCGCAGATCAAATTCATGCATTTAACCATTTAGAAATTGATATAATATTAAAATTTGAAGATTTTTCTTTTTTTTTCTGAATGCCTTTTGAAATAACTTTTATTAATACTCATAGTCGAACGAAAAAAGTCTAAAATTATAATCGATTGAAATTAATTTTGGATATAAAAGTTAAGTAAAGCACTATGTACATGTATATATATATTATATGTGTCTACATATATGATACAGATATCATGATGTGTTACGTCACACTGTGGCCTCGAGAACAATGTGTGCGAAGAAGTCAGCGAGGAGTTCGACCACCCTGGCAGCGCTGACAGTGATCGAAACGACGAGGGTTAATGGTACTATAATAAGTTAAAGCGTTTGTGTGCGTGGCTCCCATTCCAAGTAAAGCGAAAGAGAAAGGGAGAGCTAAAGCGATATACCTGCGCTCGGCAGATGTGTTGGTGAACGGATTTGGGGTTGATACATATCGGAGAGCGGTAGAGGGCAATGGATGAAGGCAGTCAATCAGTCAGTCGGCGCCCAGCCGCGGCGTCGGCAACGTTTCTCAGCGCATTCGAAGATTGAAAACTGGAGATTTGAATCTTTACAACAGTTCAATGTTTTAATAAGATGATAAAGTGAGTTTGTAACATTTACATACATCTTTGAATGACAAAATTGTGTTCTTTATTGAATTTTAAGCAGAATTTATTTTTTATTTGCTCTTTAACAAAATTATACTATGTGAAATATTGACAAATGCGTTTGGCACAAACTTTTACGCTTAATGTCGCATGGAATAATTCACAATTTTGATCACGACGCACCAATTGTCATAAATCACAATCTCTTAAAACACATGGGCTTGTAACTAATATTTTTTTAATGAAAATTCAATAATAATTAATTTATTAATTCACTTCATTGTTATGTTACTATTGTAGGTAGAAAGCACCTTGGTGGAGCGGAGTTGAAGAGAACGCATTAGGCAAAGAGAAGATTGTTTAATTCGACTTGCGGGTCGTCAAGCATTTTTCTTTCTTTTTCTACGTTCGGCAAAACAAATATACAAATCAATTCCACTAAGAGATTTCTGAAGATCGTCGAGATCGATATGTTAACAAAGCGGGAACGACTGCTCGGGGATGTCTAGCGGTAGAAGAGCGACGCGACCCGTGAGGCAGCTGTCGCTGCAGCAGCCCACGCCGCGTCGGCAGCACGTCAGACGGCAGAGATCGGCGGAGGACGATTGCGGCAAATCTTTGCAAATCTACGCGAATCCGATCGCGCGCAATAGACTAGTCGCAAATGCTACGGAAAAACCCAAGGTATTGTCGTCAGTTTTTTCACTGACAGACTTCTTCTGCCGGTAAATGCTCGTATATAACCGTCATCTCTATCTTCACTGTCACGTCATTGATAGGTGCGAGTTGCCTGGGCTGATGACCGTCGCGGCTGCGACGGCCTGGCCCAAGTGGAGGTGGTGGCCCGGCAGATTCCGAGCCGATCCAGGCCTGCCACGGGCCGATCTGGCGGCGCACACGGCATCGCGGAACAGGCGTCGATTCTTTACTCGCGACAGGAAATCGCCGAGCGGTTGCGGCAAGCGTGGAGACATCGCGAACAGAACAAGGCGAACATCGACATTTTCCTAGCACACGGTATGACTGTGGAGGAACGCTGCGACTCTGAGCTGTCAATGTCCACTCCGCCGACTCCGCTACCCAGAAAAGAACCCGATTCTATCCGGGATGAGGAAAAAGGCGCACGGAACGCGGAAATGCCTGACGATCTAGTGGATCGAGGTAAGGGAACGTCTGAGATCGACAAGGAAGATGAGGAAGGACGCGGGAAGAAATCGGAGGTCGTGTCTCAAATAATGGAGAATGATTCGTTGACGAAAGAGGATGAGAGTTCAACTGAAAGTGCGGAAAAGGAAAAAGGAGAGGACGAGGTATGCCGATCTAAAGAAATTATGCGCGACTTAATAATTAAATATTATAAAAATAGAAGATTAAAATATCACTTTATAAAATATACAATGCAACATAGTTCTTTTATTACAAAATCGAAAATGTGAAATACCTCGAAGAACAATATAGTATACTAGTTCCTACTTTTTCTGTAATAATAAAATAAAAACTTACTATTTCTATTAAAATAGAATTTTCCATAAGTAATTTCAATATTATATAAAATTAACATTTGCATGATAAAATCGATCAAAAAAAAAAATTACCGATTTTTCAGAAAATGACGGATTTACACGCCAATACAGATATCGAGAAGAAAACGCGCATAAACATCGATTGTACGAGTCTGCATCTCCCGGCCAATCAGTCGTATTCCTCGTTTCCATCCCTGAGATTGGAAAATGTGGGTCCAGCGAAAACTAACGATGACTTTTCATCGGCGAGGCAGAAGCGCGCGAGCTTTCACAGCGGCAGCAATCGCGCGTTTCTGGTGCCGATGATGGACAAGTCGCCGAAAGGACTCGTGGAAATGAAAATCGCACCGGCGAACAAATCGGCCGAAGTCAGATGCGCTTCGGCCGACAAGACCGCTGTGAGATCGTCAATCGACAGAAGCACTGTTCTCCTCGCGCGAAATTCATCCGTGAACCTGGAGAAGACGAAGAGGACCAGCTCGGCGCCACCGCAGCGGCGAAATATCGCATCCGCGGCGACGCGTGTACAAGTGAACATCGTGATCGATGCCCCTAGTCTCGCCCAACCGACAGACAAGTCGATCGTCTGCGGAAAAGTGCAGGACGAGCAAAGCGCTGTGGAAAAGAACGAAGAGGCTTCGATGAAGGTAAAAGATCGCCTTGCGCTTTTTCGAGGAGTCTGAATATTCATCGCTTAGCACGTCGCAATTAAGTAAGGATCGATGTAAAACAGAAAAATAAAAAAATAATAATAAAGAGAGATAAATAATTAACTAGATTAATAGATAACTAAGCTAAGGCGGTAAAAATAGACGAATAGAGAACAGGAATACAGATTGCGCTAACTTCCCTTCAGATATCGCGAAGCGAGCGATCGATAAAATCGGCACCTCTGAAGAGAAGATCAAGAAGCGCGAGGAGGCGATTCTTCGCGTCGAGTCCGAACGGATGCAAGGATGAAGATACCCGCGGAGAAGGACGGGGGAAGAGTTCTATGGATCCCAGGACGAGCGACGTGGTCACTATGGTGTCGCTGGTCAGCTCGGCGGACAGCGACAGCGACATTGAGAATTCGCCGGGCGACGACAAGCTCATCGACGAATTGCGCAGCAAGCTGCCCACTACGCCCATCATTAAAACGTCCATTAATCCTAATCCTGGTACGGCAAGAAAGCCTATCAAGTCAGGTACAATTGTTTTTGTTATATAAATAAATATCTTGATAAAGTTTACGTAAATTTTGGGCGACGAATTTTTAGAACTTTTCTTAAATTAAAATGTTATATTTTTTTAACGGATAAAATGACTTTCATGCTTTTTGATCATGTTTTATATTAGTGTTTGTGCAGTATTAATCCATGTCTGTACGATAGACGCTTGATAACATATATGCGCGTGCGGTAACGAGCAAGGCGAAGAGAGGCGTACAGCTATAATTGAACCGACTAATTAGAAGAGACACGAGACACGCGAGCAGCACATATCGGGCAATAATTTCTAAACACTAGCTGCTTCGTAACTTGCGCGTTCACGTTGCAAACGACATGATTCCATTATTTACTACGGTCCGAATGCCCAATTATTTTTTCGAATTTCCTTTGGCTTACGTGAGCAGCTTCTTATATATTCGATTTTAACAGCTTAACAATTTATGTACTCACAAAATTAATCGAATCTTCAAAGAGTTCCGCGAAATTTTGCAAATAAGAAAAAAGAAGCAAAAAATATAAAAAAATAATATAGTGCAAGTTGTATTTATCACCAGAAGGAAATAATGTATTTCTAAAATAGTAGACTTTTGAATAATTTTTTGAACACATTTGATGAATTTCGTGAGAGCGAACAGATCGACGGCTATATTCAGTGATGCAGTTTATGCAGGCGCATCGCTGAAAACATTGTGATTGATCGTCGAGTTAATAGGCTCTGCCGTGTACTATCGAGTTTAAGCTTTTTACAATTGCACGAGAGTCGGGTCTATTTGCCTGGTAACTCAGTTCCATTGTTGGCCGACAAACGCAGCCGAACGATATCACCCGCCATCGATTTACTTTCGCGTGGCGAACCGAATTACCCATGTTATACATTAGCCGATGTAAACCTAGTAAATCTAATGATCAATGTTATAGAAATTAATAAATTAATAACGTTTATATTATTTAATTAATAATTAATAACGTTATTCTATTGTTCGTGTTGTCGAACAGCCGATAAAAAAATACCGATAGTGGAATTATAGCTGTGTAGTCAGATTTATCTTTTTCATTTTCTTTTGGTCGAATAAACTAACATATAAAAAAAATTAATTAATTTTTTCAACTTTCGCGAAGCGATAAACCTCAGATTAAAATCGCTGGACAGTGTCTTTCCAGAGAGACTCGTTCGACGAGGAGCCGGCGACGAGGGAGGAGAAGCAGCGGATCGTCAACAGCGTTCAGCCTCGCTTCAGCCTCGCCGTTAACGTTGCTCACGGAAACGGCGGCAGCGAGGACTCGATAGAGCAGAACCTGGCTGTCGACGGTGTCGTCGCGACACCGACGACACTGGCCGTCGTTCCCGCATTGTTAATTTTGAAGGACACCGAGAAAGCGGTACAGCCGGAGGCGCCGCTAACCGATCGCGAAAAGCGATGTTTGGCAGTGCCAATTGGCGATCTGCGCGACAAAAAGCGAAAGCTGTTACGAATGCGAAGTACGCCTAACCGTCCGCTGTAAGTGGAATTTCCCTAATTATTGAATTTTTATTAATTTTATTCCCTAAGAAAATTAAATTTGCTTGCCAAAGATGGCAGACGTGATATATGATGAAATATCTTACATAATGAATCAAGAGGAAATGATTGCGATATAAGCATTTCAAATACCAAGATATTGCTCGATTTTAGGCACGATATTCAGTCAGATTTACTTGAAATTATTCTCCGAAGATTGAAAGCATTGTGCAAAAGTTTGCAGAAGTAGTAAAGATTCCCTAGACATTAGTGATAGCGACGCATAGCCCACGCTCGGAAATTGCGAAAATAGATGGTCGATTTGCGCGAGTGGTTTAGCTATTGCCGTATCTTAATCTATATACAAAGCGTAATGGCGAAGGGAGGAAGAAGGAAAGGTTCGATTGGCTGACGATTTATGATATCGACGTGGAAAAAATAAAGTAGGACGATGTAATGATGATCGAGGACGGAGACAGGGAGGGGAAGAGGGGGTTGGTAACGGACTGGTACGGCCGTGAATATCCGCATCCCGCGGATCATGGTACGTCCTTCGATTGATACCTCCGCGAAACTTCGACCATCATACTTGATTGTCCTCTGTAACATTGGTACGCTGCTTATAAGAAGTTGGAAAAACTGGAGTTAAACAAAAAAAAAAAAAAAACACAAAAATTGTTCCTCGCGAATTTTGCGAATCGAAAACTTCATTTCGAGAGATGGATATCTTTAGTGTCTCCTATTTTTACGCAATTGCGAAATATATTATTCAATATTCTCTTACAATATACATCTCGTCTTTAAGATAATTAATATAAAACAAATGGGATAAAGAGTCGTGCACGTTGTTTGTGCTTTTAGAGTCGTATATATAAGATTTCGAGCGAAATAACAAACGTTTCGGCTTCAGATTGGATTATCTTCAATACGTACAATAATCGGTTGCGAAACAATTGTCCGTGGATTCCATAAACAACAATAAAGTCAAAATTTTTAAATAGATTCTCCACAACATCTTGTAAAGCAACATTTGACCAATTACCATCTATTCAAATGAGTTCTTTATCCCGTTTGTTTTAATTGACTTGGCTTGAATTTCTAGCTAATTGTCTAGTCTTGGCTAATTAACTTTATTATTGATAATTAATATATTCACTAAAAATATCTTAAGGTCTGATCTTTTGCTATAGTTTACATATACTTTATTCCATTTGAAGATTGAGTTATTCTACAATATTAATTCCCAAAGTTTCCAAATATTCTTAAATAAATACGTCTCGATAATGTTCACAGAATCGCGGAACGGACAAATAATGCACCGATGGAAATAAAAGAGCAAGGCTCGCATCTCGCGATCCCACAAGTCGATCTCGTCGCGGTTTCAGTTCCATCGATTGATACTTCGCTGCCAAAAGTAAAAGAATTATACTAATTGAAGTATACATGTTGAATTGAAATTTATATAGTATTATTTTTATTTGGATTATTATATTATTACATTATTATTATTATGCTGAGTCGGAATTTTTAATTTGATACATTTTTGGCGTGAATACAGATGGAACAATTTTCCAAAGAGACGCTGCCGGCGAAAGAAGCACCGCAAGAAGTGATATTACCGTCGGAACCGCAATTTCAAACGACTAAAGAAAAAGAATGTTGGCATCTTTACAGGCGAATGTGCGATAAAGGGGTGTGCGTGTCTTTCGACACTGTTTTAAGGTATTACAGTTGATAATTGCTAACAATGTTCAAAAATATTTAAAAAATTTTAAGATTTTTAAAAGTATTTCGAATAATGCAGACTGACTCAATCTTTAAATAGAAGAAAATACAAATTATAAATTTGCAAAATTGCAAAATATATTTTGAACTTATTTCAATTCATTTCACGTATACTTAGCGCATCTCCGCAAACTTGGTACGCCCACTAAAATCGAGAATTCGGATATATGAAAAAAACTAAGCGCTAATTTATTATTCTATTCTGGAATTTATTGCTTCAACGCATTTGCAGGAAATCTAATTTAAATAATTTCAAATTAGAGCGATAAATTAACACTTAATTTGCCAATTATCCAAATTCGATTATTAATGGCTGGGATATCAGGTTAACAGAGATACTTAACGCTTATAATTTGTGAGTAATTAGAACACATGAGTATGAATTGAAAAAGTATAATATTTCAGAGGTATGCTGACACCAACAGAATATCGATTGCGACAAAAGGAACTATCGCAGGATTTGCGGTAAAATTAGAAAAATAACGGGTTTTGTTACAATATTTAAATATTTTTCTAATGCACCAGTTATTCTTACTTTCTCGTATTAATCATCAGAAAGTAATCAAACAAAATGTAATATTATTTAATTTATATATAATTTATTCATTATACTCTCATAAATTATATATACTATGCATTATTTTGTATATATAATTTAATACTAATTATTTTGTATTAATTTGTATATATTATATTTATAATCGCTACTTACATGTTATTTGGTGATAATAATTAATAAATCATATATGTTATAACTCTTATATATAATTTATTAATTATATTTATACGTAAAGTTTGTACATATTAATTTGTATAATACATATAATTATACAATATAGAACAAGGGTACTAAATATGGGATAGCTATAATAATTGTTATTATTAAAGATAAATATAGATAACATTTTAATAATTATTATAATAGTAATAGCAGTAGCAATAATAATAATAATAATAATAATAATTATAGGTGCACGTGATAAAAAATAAGTATAAATCAAATAGCAGATATAGTTTTTACTGTGTCTTTTTGTCAAACCTTTTATTCCCAAATGATTGATCAAATTTTTAAAAGATTTTTTAATTATTTTCTATAATATTCAAAAAGATGTTGAAATATTTTTAATGAATAAAAATATAGCAATATATACTTCATAAAATACGAAAATTGATATAGTTTCTTTACTGAAGATGGAATGAATATATATTTAAATATTGGAAAAAGAATAAAAGAGAGGAAAAGAAAAAACAAGTACGTATAGAAAGTGCAACTGAAAAGAACAGACCTATTATGTCACAGTAAAATATGCCAGTTTTTTCAATGTTTTCTATAAAATATTTATAATTTTTATTATTTATATAAATAATTATGTACTTATAAATTTATAACAAGTATATATTATGAACTATATATATTTAAATATCTTATATTATGTCGTAATATTTGTGACTGTCAAAATAACGAAGAAGGTAACAATGAACATAGTTTATTGTAAGATATTTAAACAAGTAGATAGATAATATGGATGTGAATAAAAATTAGTACTCACCAGCTAGAAACGAATGCTAGAAACGATGTAAACTTCTAGCTCCGAGAGACTTGGAGGTTAGGTTTTCGTTGAAGATCACAAAATTCTTATTTAAAATTCTTATTTAAAATCAACAACCTCCGAATTTATTCATAACTTTTACTGTTTATAATAATAGTTTATTATAGCAATATAATAATAATATAATAAAGTTAAATTCTATCCTTATCAGAAAATACTTCTACTATTCAATATAATTTCTTTCAAAAAAATATAAATTTACGACACATCAGATAGTTTTTATAAATTCAAAAACTGATTAGCGGAAAATGCTGCAACTTTTTTATACTCAACCCTAAAGAAAGATTCACATTTTTTGTTTGTTGTCTTATTTTGTTTGATGTCTTATTACTAATTCGATCACTCGCGCTACACCGCACTTTGGTGCACATTAAAGTCCAAAAAGGACAGCGATACACGGCATGTAATTCTCTCTCGGCTCGCGACAAGCGATTCAGTGCCCATTGCAGTAAATATAGTTTAGTAACTTGTGTCCCCTGCAAAATGCACCACATTGGCAGCACTGATCGTGATTAGTCGTGGCTGGCCGGATTGATTGTGATACGCTCTTATGCTTGTCAACCAGGAGTGATTGTAAGAGAATATTTTATTTTCCTAATATTTGAGTCAAAAGAAGAGGAAGACGATTGTATGCGCTCTGATTTTGAACAATTTGTTTCTTAATCAAATCGCGCATCATGGACGACTTGCAAAATTATAAACTCCAACTCCAGCAGGTAAATTTTGTTATTCTTTCATAACCTCATAGCAACCAATCTTGATTGTTTATATATAATACTTTTGCAAGAGTCTGGCTTTTATATTTTTTGCATTTTAGGTGGAAGCAGCTCTCACGACAGATCCAAATAATGAGGAGTTAATAAAATTGAAATTTGATTTGAAGGAAGTAATAAAGCTGACACATGATTTAATTAAGTCACAACAACAAGAAAAACGACAAGCCAATGGCATGGACGCTAAAGATCCAATTTTACTTGCAGTTTTGGCCAATAAATGGAAAGTCGGTGATCAATGCATGGCACCTTGGAGTGAGGATGGCAAGTGAGTATCATAGGCTTGCTTTTTGCGACAAATTATAATATATACAATATCACACTGCTGTATAAATTGTTCTAAAAATTGGACATTTCATGCAAGTTATTGTTATTACAAGTTAAAATATGAAACAAATATAGTTTAAAAATAAAGTATTTTGTAAATTTTTTGCAGATATTATGAAGCAACAATAGATGCTATAAGCGAAGATGGAGTTGTAAATATAACGTTTAATGAATACAAGAATACTGATGTCACCATGCTCAGTCAACTGAAATCTGTTGCTAAGAGGCCAGCTTCTGATTGGGCAGATCAAAAATCTAAGTACGTCATCTTTGATCTGTGATATTTATTACTATAAATTAATGTAAAATGTTCTTTCTAATTTTGCACTTTTATGTTTATTTTTGTGAGAAGTTTAGAAAGTATAAGGCAATTACTAATTATCTTATATTTCCTCTTGTCCTCTTCTGAATTGGCAACAATATCCTACCATTGGTATGGTATTTGGTCTGAAATTGCTCATTATTATTCCTTTATCCTTTGATGTCACACGATCTGTACACATCGTCGAACTCCAGGAAAAGGTAACAAGAATTGTCCAGCATCTTTGGCACTATATTTTTGTGAATAGATTGATATAATTGACATAATTATTTTAAAAAAGTATAAAGGAACTATACATATACCAGAATTTTGAAAAAAATTGAAATACAATTTTATTTTTTAAACTATTTTGATATTTTCATAATACAGCATTTTGATAGCATTTTTTTTGTAATATAATGTGTACAAATAATACACATACAATTACCCATAAATTACGAAATTATACTATAAAAGGTTTGCTTTCACCGTGCTTTTATTTATTTATATTAGTAATGCCTTTTTAAATAAATTGTTTATTTTCTTGTTTGAAAGAAACAATAATATTTATATAATTTGAATATCTGTCTTTATATACAGAGTAGTTCACGGAACTGGGTCAAACTCTAGCACTCGAAGATAAAAAAAAATGAATTTGTAGCAAAATTTTTAATGTTATGCTATTTAACTTTTTCTTTTATTATTTTTTTTTTTCTATTTTTAACAGGACAAGTGCTATAGAGCTCGGCCCAGTTCCATGGACTACTGTATGAGATAGTGTATAATAAGAATAAATTTTACAAGTCTTGCTGTGCACAGCATTATACAGTTTGCATTATTTAAATCATTTATTGAATTATTAATTTTATTATAGAAAGTATTTGAAGAGCACATAAAAGTGTATTAGAGAGAATATAGAAAAAGAACTTGGATTTATGTATGAAATACGTTGCTTTATTAAAATAAATATTAATTTTCTGAATTATTATAAGTAAATATACGATACATATATACTGAAATATATTAATATTATATAATCATGAGGTACACATACGTGGCAATAATAGAAATATGAATAATAATCGTAGTTGATGTATCCAAAACATCTCTTTAAGACGTGCTATTATACATGCGACCTGTTTATCCACATGATATTTATTTATTTACAGAAAAATGCAAGCAGCTGCAGTTGCAGGCTCAGATCCACATAAGCAAAGAGAATACCTTAAAAAGAAGAAGCAGAGAAAATTACAGCGGTTTAAGGAATTGGAGGAAGAACGCGAGTTGGAGAAAAATAAGTGGTTAGCATTTACTAATAAGGTACGTTAGCGCGATAAATTCATTTATACGTACATCGATCGTGCATACATTTGAAATATATTGTCTTTTTAACTTATTCACAGTCTTCTTTTTAACTTATTCACAGTCTTCGAAAAAAGGCGTTATAAAGAAGAGCATCTTTGCAACACCAGAAAATGTGAACGGTCGCGTTGGAATCGGTACTTGCGGTGTCAGTGGTCGGGAAATGACCAAGTTCAGTAATGGAGAGAAATGGAGACGAGGGGCTTAAATAAGTTATATGTAAATAGTGGCGTAAGAATAGATAATTTGGTGGATTTATTCGTATATATTTAAAGCTGATTCACGAACTGGTACGTGGTATACTTTACGTTACGATGATTGAGCGATATGTATCAATATGTATGATCGCAACAATGACGATGATACTCCACTCATTATGCGCAGACAACTTTTCTGGCATGTGTCTACACTGATGCTTATAAGTATCGAAACAATCTCGGATTTTTTTACCATAACATGATTAAAGAAAACAAAAATAACTGCAGCAAATAAATGTTTTCTTAGCTTAATGTTTCTGTGAACATAACTTGTTTACAAACTTATAAATAAATGTATATTTTAACGTGCAGCTTTTCTGACGTTATTTTTACTCTTAGAAACTAATATATATTTTATATATATACAGGGTGTCCCGCGCTAAACGCACCATATGGCAACGATACATTCCTGAGATCACTTTGAGGTGAAAATGCTAATGTCAAAATGTCGAGGCTTTTACTACAATAGCTTTTCACTGCTTTTTAAATGCTTCTCATTTAAAGTTGACTGATTGCTCCAAATTCGTGCAACTAGGCACGGTTGTAGGAAAATAATGGATCGATGTCTGGAAATCCTCATTGTGTTAAAGAAATTGTGAAGAAAGCCTACAACAGAGAGAAACAAAATAATCCGAATGCTCTCTTTGTCTGATCTAATTCTCTTTCTAAATTCTCGACACTTCGAACGACGCGAGCAGTCTATATTTACTACGTCTATGGTGGGGATCACCTGATCATCACCAGTTTATCAGAAATATCACGACAAAGAGAGATATTCCCGATATAGCTGTTTTTGTTCACAATTCAAGCATTCTTACTCTTTCAAGACTTATTTCAGTATATTATACAGTTCAATGGATAAAAGAAGATATAATTGATGCATAAAGAGCATTGCGCACGCATTTTTGCAATGTTAAAAATCGTTTATTATACGAATTTCGAATTCTAACCTATGCATATTGTCACCGTGACACAAGGAGAAGAGAATTTCAGATTACGAATTATGTAAAGATACAACATTGTCGTATCGACATGCAAGAGAGTTTTAGTAATAGACGGTATGTGGTAAAAATCGATATCAGTGAAGAAGAATTAACGTAATTTATATATGACATGTATCGTTACATAGAGAAGATATGGGGCCAAACGAGGAGAGCGGACTTCCAAACGGTGACATTCAAGCACACAGAAATGTCGACTGGACTAGATACGGTTTACGTGATCCAGAAGCACAGAGAGACACAGAAAAAGATAACAAAGGCAACAACAGTGCGTTTGGTCCAGAAATGTATCAAACTGGTGCAAATGAATTATTTGCACAAGAGTATGTAAGTACTTGCAAAGCAATTGTTAACTTATTGTGTAGTGAATATTACAGCTCAAAAAAAGTAAAATGTATATTTTTGTATCTCTCTCAGAGTTCAGATCCTTGGTGGAAATCAAATTTCTTTATCTCTCAACCTGTATTGTTCGGTACTTGGGATGGGGTTTTCACATCATGTCTTATCAATATATTTGGAGTGATTGTATTTTTGAGATCTGGTTGGATAGTTGGCCAAGCAGGTGTTTTGAATGCAGTATTAATTATTTTGTCTACAGGTAACAAATTAATATATGTTTCGCTTTAAATATTTCATATCTATTGTCATTATAACGCAAATTATGGTATTTTTCAGTGTGTATTGCTTTAGTGACGGTGTTATCGGCTATAGGAATATGCGAGCGATGTAGAGTCGAAAGTGGTGGAATTTATTTTTTATTATCACATGTATTGGGTTCTAGATTTGGTGGCTCCATTGGATTATTGTACTGTTTTGGACAGGTAAGAATGACTAAAATTCATCATTTCAATCTACCAATGTTCCAAGAAACAGTTTGTGGATTTTATTTCAGGCAGTGGGTTGTGCTCTAAACGTTTTAGGTTTTGGAGAATCAATAGCTGGTCTTGTAGGTTTGGAATCGGCTTGGGCGCAGCGTGGTTTTGCATGCGCAGCAGTTGTATTATTGTCAGTAATTAATGTGGCCGGTGTTAAGTGGGTCGTGAAGTTGCAGTTTATTCTTCTTCTGATCATACTACTTGCTGGAGTTGATTTCATGGTCGGAAGTTTCACTCATACCAACATTGGTAAGATGTTATGGCAAATCGAGAGGGTCGTAAAAAAACAATATACATTAACAATCATAGATGTATTTCTCAATAGAAAATTATGTATGAGAAATCTTTAGAATCGTTTATACATTATCAATGCAGACTAAAGTACCTTTACACTTGCAGATGCTGGCTTCGAGGGTTGGTTGTCAGGGAATTTGAAAAACAACACTCTTCCTGATTATCAGGACGGCTACAGCTGGTTTACTGTATTTGGCGTATTCTTTCCGACAGTCACCGGTGTTCTAGCTGGAATTAACATGAGCGGGGACTTGAGGCATCCATCCAGCGACATTCCTAATGGTACTTTGGCAGCATTGGGGACTGGGTAAGAAAGATTTATATTTCTGATATAAAAACATTTTTTTTTTTTTCATTCTTACATCACGATTGTGTGTTTCAGAACGTTTTTGTACTTGTGCTTTTCTCTGACGCTTGCGGCAACTTGTGTGAGAAACGCTTTACTTACCAATTTTACGATAGCATCAACAGTATCGGCAATCTCGGTGTTGCTGCTCGCTGGTCTTTACGTATCGTCGTTCAGCAGTTGTTTAGGTGCTATGTATGGCACACCCCGTGTTCTCCAATCTATCGCCAGTCAAAATGTTATACCAGGAATAAATTGCTTGCAAAGAGGAGTAAGTTTAAATATAGAAACATTTAATGTACGATATTAATATTCAATTATGTAACGTATTTTCAAGAATGAACAACAACAGAAAAAGGCTGTAAGAATCAGAAGCGCAAAAAATATTACAGATTAATATGCGGAATAATCACAAATACAGGCTACAATTTCAGGCCCTCTTCAGTTTATAATGACGATAGAAAAGGATTTAGATTGTTGCCGAAATTGTGGTCAAAATGTATTTGTGATTTTTTTCTATTAATATGTTGTAATATCTTTTGCACTTCAACATCCTCTGATTCTCACAGCCTTTTTCTATTGTTATATTAATATTTAAGTAATTAATAGCAGTTGGAAGCGATCGCGTAGTGTGTTGATTAGCGTTGGTCTAGCAATGGCAAGTTTGATCTCCGTCACAGAACAAAAATAAAATCTACGATCGCTTCTTCCCGCAAGCAATCGTGGAGCAGTATTTTGCCAAAGCAAACCTCTCAACTGTAGTCTCAATTGATAACATAATCCTGCAAACAATTGATCAACGGTAGTAATGCATATCTTGTTTTCAGAGAGGACCAAATAAAGTACCTATATACGCTATGCTGGTCGTTGCTGTAGTAACATTGACTTTTATCATCACTGGACAAATTAATACACTCGCACCAATCGTAACAATGCCTTTCTTGTTAACATATGCGTGCTTGGATTACGCATATTTCGCCCTCGCACAAACGTTTGACCTTCGGCACACACGTGAACAAAGATTTCGCACACAGTCTCCAACATTCGACCATAATTACGGTTCTGCGAGTAGAAACAGTTCGATAACGGACACGGATAATGATTTGGACAGCTTGTTCCCCGAGAGAATAAGGCATAAGAATCTCGTGGTGAGAGCGCATTACGTATTCTTATTCAGTGTCAATAAATATAAGTTGATCGAACAATAATTATTCGCAGACGAGCAACAGCATTTCTGACAACAACATATATGTGGATTCGTCGCCAAGCATCGAGGACAATGCTAGTGTTACTAGCGCGTCGGAAAGAAAGGTTCACATACACAGTAAACTGGGGAACTGGTACAGTCCTTTGTGCAATAGATGGTTTTCGTTGTTAGGTGTAAGTATTTAATGCATTATTACAGCTGTTCTCACTACTCTTATATGATTTTTCTTCATTTCATAATAAATTTCTTTCCAAATATTTCAACTGTTTGATAAAGATTTTGCGTCGTATTACAGTGTCTCGTAAAATTGCTTATAATGTTTCTCGTGCATTGGGGATACGCTATCGCCAATATCGTTGTTGTATTTCTCGTCTGGAGTTATGTCGGCCACGCCAATCCTGCTGTCAAACCTGGAGTTTCATCAGAGTTCCAATTTTTCAAATGGTTCCGGATTGCACTACTTCGACTTATGGGGTAAAAAAACTTGTTATCAAACATTTACACAATACTTCTTTTAAATCGATGAATTAAAAAATCTGAATAGATTTAATATCAGGGTTTTTTTACTTTCCTACGATTAAGATTTCTTTAGAATTTAGGTTATTTTCTTCTTTGGATAATTTATACTTCATTGTTAGGAGAAAAGTGTACGATTACGAACAGATTGTGGTGACTCCGGTGCATCCAGGCGTCGAGACGTTTTCAGCTCAGCTGAATGAAGAGAACGAAGATTTTTCGGGCAGAAGAAGGTATCATCAGACCGCTACAGTCACAGGTCAATATGTTAATGTCGATTAAGTATACGAAATCATATGGTCTACCCAGAATTATGAATCACGCAATTATAATTCACATACTATTTCAGTAGCAAACATATTTTTTAGAATGTGTTCTCATTGGCGAGAGTAGATTGCGCGAACATATAAGTAAATGCTTATTAATGCATAGTATTTAATACTCGAAGGCATGCTAAAGTGCAGCTCTTGGCAATTTTTTTAAGACTACTTTTACCCTATGCAACACTGTCAATCACGCGCAAATATAGCTAGTCTAATCGATTTAACTTATTTAATGTCCATCTGCATTTAACATGGAATGCGCGTTATATAATTACAGTTTTAAGGACTGACACAGCTTAAGTCAATGACACAGCGGATCAAATGCGAAAATGTGTGAAAAACGTACAAAGAACTGATGTGACGATATAGCGCTAGATTTTTATAAGCATTTACTTGTTGCGATTGCCATACAGTTGGGGTAATTCACTATAAAAGTAACGGTAGCGATTTATCCTGACAATGTTATTCACTAAACACAACCAAGAGAAAAATATTCACCTGAATTTATCATAAGAATTTATCTATTTGTGGTGTGAGATTATTTTTTTATAATAACGAGAGCCCGAATGACAGACGATAATCGAGTGATAATGGCAATCGCACCATGAAAATATCTGTAAATACCTGATATAATATATAATATATTTATACACTATTTAACAATTTTATAACTCTCGAACAAATGTACGAAATTTGTAATTGTAGAATGGAATATACATGTACGTGTGAAAGAGAAGTCTAGTGTGATTGTTGTCAGTTCTTCCCATTTGTCTTATCGATCGTTAAATTGTTTAAATCCGTCGAAACAAAATTTAAGAAGCATTAAATGATTTCGGACGATTATTTACAATACGAGTGAGAGGGTTATATACACATATGCGATTTGAAGGCGTAACACTTTCTCGATTGTACCAAAATAAATCATCCTATACAATATTAAATTTGACCAAAATCACATTATCACAATATACAGGGTGTATAAAAAAAGATCGAAACTTAGAATATCTCGAAAAATACAAGTCTGATAAAAAAATGTTTCAGATAAAAGGGTTGTTCAATGACTATAATATTACTTTTTAAAGCAAAATTATATGATATATTAATTTTTGGACAAAGAACAAATACAGTAGAACAAAGCAATACTTTATGACAACTTCTATATAACGATAATCTTATATTATAAAAATCATTTTACAGCAACGAATATGAATATATTTCTTTTAAAAGTATATGTCGTAAAGAGAGATTATTCTACTGCAATCTCTAACCTACGGCTGAGACTATCAAGTCAGCAACATCTGGATCTTGACAAAGCACAGATATCTGCATTGTAACTTGCGTCCCAATCAATGCCAATCTTGCACGTGCCAATACTTCCTTTCGTCCGCGGAAGATACCGCTTAAAAGCAAATTGTGCGCAGTCGCTCCGCTTTGTACTTTATTACTGCGTTCCACAGCCTCCAAGCCCAAGAATCCCGTGAGACTTTGAATCGCGCCTTCCAAAGACGTCACCGAACCTCCCAAGACGAACGTCTCTTCTAATTTCATAAATCCTTTCGCAGCGTATGTGTCCCAAGCGGTATTAAAATCGAAACCTCTGTTACCAATGCCACGCACTTGATCGGCTAGAGTCACCTCCAAATCTTCCAACTAAAAAACACATTAATAAGCCTGACATGTTGCATGTAAAAGTAACCGATAGAACAATCATTTCTATAAATTATACAATATAGATAAATATTTTAAAAGAATTTTTTTAGCACAAGTTTTAAAAGCTTATTCAATTTGTGTCGAATATAGTGATACATACTCATAGAAATATGAGTATATTGAACATTCTACTTTCGTTATAACATTAAAATTCATTTTTTTACCATATATTCGTCATGATATCCTTGATCCGCATCTGGTATTCCTGTCGTAGGATCGCAATCCCTCGCCATGAATCGAAGAGTCGTGGGAATGGTAGCGACGCTAGCGCGTACATCTTCGGGATATTTTAATACTGTGTAGGTAGTTCCTGGCTCGTTGTAAGGTAACTGCGGACACGGCACCACGCACACGACAGAATAACTGAAATAGACGACTTGTTGCAAAATTTGTGGAGAGGAATATATGTTGTTAAGAGTCTTAGTAATAAGCTCACCCTTCGGAAGGTTCGACGGCCACCATCACATCTTCGAGAAGTTGATCGGAGAGAGTATTCACGCAGTCGAATTGCAAAATAAGATACTCAGGGAATGTGTGCTTGATGCATTTAACATTGTATTCCGTTTCGGATTCAGTCAGTTCAAACACTGGCGAAGATTTAAGCAGCGGCATGTCTCGAATGACTATCGCCAAATGCGGAATTTGTAATAATTTCTCCGTGTAGCTTTCCTCTCTGGTCAAGCGAGGCTGTTTCACAGTGGTGTGAACTTCGACCTGTGTTGGTTCCTCTATCGTCTGAGCTGGGGGTATCTGCAAGCAATGTATGTCGTTCAATGATCATTAGTTATCATTTTCGCAGAATGAAATCGTATATCTTGCTTCCTGTGCAAGATAATCAGAGAAACAAGCAATACCTGAGAAATGTCAAACGAATCTTCCATAGATGTCTGCATATAATTTCGTAGAGCTCTCTCCAAAGTCGGCACGGACAGTGAAGGTGGTTGCACAAGGGGCAATATGGTCGGATCATTTTGTTGTTGAAGGATCGTGCAATAATAAGCTGCACGATCGCGAACCTCGTCGTCCGAATCCAATTGACAGCGCGATAGTAGAACCAAAACGTTCGGAAGTAAAGGTGGACAGGCGGCGGCAAAACGCGCTAAAGCGGTGACGGCTGCGGCGCGCACACTGGCGCTTTCGAGGATAACGCGATTATAGATGAAACGGATGTATCTCGACGGTTGTTTCGACGTTGGACCCTCTTGGCCGAGTAAGTGCAAAATACGCACGGCGAGAGAGATGTGCTCGCAATCTTCGATAAATTCACAGAGATGTGCGAGCCCCGCTTCCTTGGCTTCTGCGTTCCCTTCCATTACAGCTATAATAGTGTCGGCAATTGCGGCTTTGTACTCGAGTCCGCCTTCGTCTCTCAACATAGCAGAGAGGAAATTCATCAAAACTGCATGCTTGCGAGGGAACTTTTGACATAAAGCCCTGAGGAAAAAAAATTAGAAAAGTTTAGAAATAATCACAATTATTAATATATATAATAATTATTACAAGTTGCAAAATAAAGTTCACCTAATGGCCTGTACTACTACTACTTTAAATTCATCCGAAATTTCCGACACAAAAGTGGCAATCTGCTTCATTAAACGATCGACGGAACTTTCCGCTCCAGTTTTCAAAAGAGTAGTGATTGCTAGAGTGGCAATCGATCTGTTAGAATCTGTGATCAAGTTTTCAAGATCCAAATTGCACGCTGTGACTGCTGCTGGATGAGACATCGCAACTTTATTCAAAGTTCTGACAGCGGCGAATCGAAGTGCCGGTTTCGGCGAGCCGCAGAATAATTGCAGGACGCTAATTGCTGGTCCAATTTCTCTAGCACCGCTTCGTCCGAGATTGACCAAAGCATGGGCCGCTTCGTATACTACCATTTCGGACTTATGACGTAAACACGACTCTATAAATCCCATTAATTCCTCGCCCTCATCTACCTCATCCAATAATTTATAAGCCATTCGAATTAACATGCACGCCGCATAAGGGCTTTTCGGACTTGTTTTCATAAGTTTGGCAACCAGCTTGATCACCGCATGCTTGTCTGCCTTACGCGCTTGATAGAGAACACCCAGAGCGTGATATTGGACCATCATATTATTGGAATTTAATGCCTCCTGTGCCTCATTTGCCCATCTTCTCGCAACATCGCTGGATACATTTGTCAAATGCAATGAAGAAACAAGAGCAGCACTAGACACAGCTGGTGAACGATCAACTATGGCTTGTTTCATGTATCGTTCGATGGCTGCCAACATACTGGCATCAGTAATGGTACAAAGTGCCCGAATTGCAGCAGCTCTGTACAAATCTTCCTTTCCAGTCATATCTTTTGTAAGACTGGAAGTGACTATTATCACATCTTCTGCCAAAGAGCTCAATTCTTTAATTCCTAGATAAACTAATCGTCTCAATATGACATCACGTGACTGAAACAGCTTGGTCATAGCGAAGAAGGCTTCTGTAGCTTCTGTCGTACCCAATTGTTCGCCTTGATTCAGCAGATATAAAATCTTGGTGAGAATGTGGGCACATTTTCTTGGATTGACAGGAGTGTTATTAAATGTACGCGCTTCTTGTAGAACTGTAGTTTTTTCCAAATTTTGAAAAGGATTGCCACCACCTGATCAAACAAGAAAGATGCACGTCAATGTTTAGTATTAAAAATTATATCTCCAAGTAATAAATAAAGATGTCATCTTTATGAAAAAATGTAAAAAAGTAAAAAGAAATTATTATGAAATTCCATAAAATACATTCCATTATTTTTTCTATAATTGTACTTGTTAAATATACTTGTTCATAGTTGTATTATTATAGTTTAACGTATTATTATAGTTAAATGTAAATGTATTTGCTTATAGTTGCGAGATTAACCAACCTATACTCTGAGTATAATTTTTAATTTACGTGCAAACATTTGCACAAAAAATGATAACAATATAATTAATAATTACCGTCTTCCTCTTCTTTCTTATCGCGCTTAAACGTAATCATCTTTTAGCATATAAACTTTCGATATTTGGAGCAATACAGCGACACGTCACTTCAATATGTTTTACACCACGAATAATTATGGATCGTAATCACCAAGAAAACCATCTCCAGTTGATTATAGCGCTTTGGCGGAATTATAAAGGAACTAAAAAACTATAGGCGATTGCAGCGCCTAAGCGGAAATATGGAGGAATTAAAAAAACTGTGGGCGATGGCAGCGCTTTGGCGGAATTATAGAGGAACTAAAAAACTATAGGCGATTGCAGCGCCTAAGCGGAAATATGGAGGAACTAAAAAACTGTGGGCGGTGACAGAGCTTTGGCGGAATTATAGAGGAACTAAAAAACTATAGGCGATTGCAGCGCCTAAGCGGAAATATGGAGGAATTAAAAAAACTGTGGGCGATGACAGCGCTTTGGCGGAATTATAGAGGAACTAAAAAACTATAGGCAATTGCAGCGCCTAAGCGGAAATATGGAGGAACTAAAAAAACTGTGGGCGGTGACAGCGCTTTGGCGGAATTATAGAGGAACTAAAAAACTATAGGCAATTGCAGCACCTTAGCGGAATATAAAGGAACTAAAAAAAACCATAGGCGATTGCAGCGCTTTAACGGAATATAAACTATTTACAGATGAAAACACAATGAGCATGTGCGAAAATAAATACTATTGAAAATTGGTTTTAAATATATTAATGGCAAGTTTAATATGTGTAAACAATGTACCCCCCAAATTGTTAATAATGTTGTTATGCATATTGCAAAACAAAATTATTAAAATATAGAAAGCAGCAATAAAAAGTTATGTAGAAATTGTTAATGCTATGTATAATGAATAGCTTTGAAGAGAGTTGGAAATGGATTGGTGTGCTAGACTCCAGCAGCTGAAGAGCTTTTTTCAGAGTTGCCGGATTGAAAACCCAAAAAATTGAGAATCGTGTGCATGGCTACGCAGAGCGTTTTGCGCAGCACACGTAAGCGATTCTCGCTTGTGTGTGCGTTCGGTTGCTCGGGTCTTCAATCTGGCAGCCCTGCTTCTTCTTCAGTTTTGTTAAATTATACATCTATACCCGCATTCACGCTCTGACTCGTCTTCTTTTCTAATTTTTTATATAAATATCTAAATATGTATGTAATTATTCTGTAAGACTTATAGTATCTAAATTATTTTGAATTATTTTTGTGTATTCCTTCTTTTTTTCTTTTATTAAGAATATGTTTTACAAAGCAAATTTCGTGATAGTTGGAGTTGTAAAAACTGAAGACTACGGAATTAATAAGTTGGTGGGCACATTTTAACAAGGTTTTAAAAAGGTGAGTGCGAATAAAGATATCGGCACATTATATAAAAAGTACTCTTCAAGTGACAGGCGTGAATGTTAGGCCGACACATTCATTCGTTCGTTCATGTATTCACTTCTGTCTGTCAGTCAGTCAGTCAATTAGTCAGTCGGTTAGTCCGTTAATTCATTGGTCAATCTATCAACCAAATCAAATTTTTTACGTACGCGAATACATTGCGGTTTCATATGCACCTGAAAGCTAAACATATTTTTCTTCTACACGTGATCTTGTACTGAAAAAAAATGGTGCAAGAAAAGATCATTAATATTATACAAAATATAATATTTTATATGATATAAACAGACTGTTTGATGCAATAAACGTAATAACGCTATCTTCCTGTTAATAATATGCACATAAAGAAATTATTTTTAATCTAAAAGTCTTTTAATGTTAAATGACAATTTATACGAGTCTTCTGTTAAGTATCACGCATAGATGCAATTTTATTTTTATTCGATTTTCTAATAAGTGCACATGCCATAAAAAACTATACTTGTATATAAATTTTTAATTTCAGTAAACGTTGGTTGTGCTTTCGCGATAACAAGAAGATAGCAACGGAAGAACTGATCGAGGAATATAGTGAAAAGTGAAAGATTACCAGCTTCTGTGATGACATTTTAAAGAAAAATCTCTTAAGACTGCAGATATCTGTACTATAACTAGACTGCTAACTCCTTTTGTTCTTGTATGTGTGTACATAAAATTATTTCCCAAAGTTATGTATTGCATGCGTAATGTTAGTAGTAAAAGCCGATATACACGCTGATATTGCCAGTATATTAACCAAGCTATACTAAATTTTATATAATCAGAAAACAAAAAAATCTAAGTTATTTAAAAATATTTCTTATTTGCTTGTAAAATTATGCATATACGTTGCGTATGTATAGGTGCACGCGCGTATGTAATCTTTCAGATTATGCAATAAAACGTGTCAATTTTTCTAATATTTATCACGCATACGCATGAGTTTTATACATAATTTTTAGAATCATGTATTTGGCTGAGTTAGCAGTTTAGTTGTAGCATAGGTGTCTGTGTTTAAGACTATGTATTTTGATTGAGATTGCGAATTGGAAATAAAAATTTAACCAATGAGTTCGACGAATCAATTAATTTTAGTTTACTTTGTTACGATAGGTCAAATTTTAATTTCCAATTTGCAACTTTCAATCTCCAAAATACAGTCCGAGACAGTAACTTTTACAAAGTTTAGTTACATTGCAAGAAAACACATCAACGTACATCAACGTAATATAAGAAGCGCCAACTTGAGATTATGAACGTACCGCTATGAATTTTGCGTACACTCGAGAATCGATAGAGAATCGATTCTCAGGGAGATTATCAGTTTCTCAGACGGGCAGAATCCGTGCGACAGCAATTCGCAAATACAGTTGGATGCTATAAAATATTTGCCGACGAGATCGATATTAAAGGAAACAAGCAATTATCCCCTTTTTCTAAATTTTCAGATATTATATTACGTGCATAGAAAGGCGCAGTTCCAAAAAATTTTGCAACAAAAAGTTGAATCACATCACACCCTATTCAACCGGTGGAAACATAAACGTATTGTAATATATTATTGTATAACAGTGGCAACTGGCAGATGAACAGACAGTTTGGCAGGCATAATAAACATAAAATCAAACATATACATATGTCATAACTTTTCTTCTATACACCATCCTCTTCCTCCCCCCCCCC